TCGGGTCAAAACTGTTTAAATGACGCACAACGAACATACCAACTCATCCTACTTTAGAATCTTCACTTTTTACTTACCTACACTTGATCTTTTATTTAAACAAAACAGACTTTATTGTAAAAGGGGCTTTTTGGTGGTGGATAAACTTCACATTATCGGGTACTGGGAAAAACCTTAGATACGGCCCCCATTTCTGCGATTAACGCTCGATAGACACAGGATTAACCACTTTTCCGTAAACGTAAACAACGCTTTAGCTTAACTCGAGTTTATAACGATTTAATAAAATCTCTCAGACTTTGTTCTATAATAACTTTACAACCACCAAGACTGACTGTCTTTCCAAAAAGCATTCATTGAGGCAAAGTGCCCACCAAAAAGCGCTGTTTAACGTCTACTTCGCCTATTTACCGACTCTTCCCTTGTATCACTTTCCGATGTTGCTCTTTATCATTTTCTCAACATTTTCCAATCAAATTAACTGCTAGAAAAGACGGCCGGTTCCTTCATTTGTATCAATTACTATATGTCTTAGAATAAACTAACGCCTACGTTTACGTACAGCAAAAACACCTGCTTATCTTCAACGCAATTACCTTTTACGCAGTTATAACGAACTGCTTATCCCAATATCTACGTTCATATAAAAAAATTCCTCAGATTCTTCTATTTCTTACTGAAGACTTCTTGGTTTTTTTCAGATATAGGTTGTAGATCAGATAGAAAAGATGCGCATTTGAGGGTATTTGAACATGCACACGCAGAATCGTCTGCATATCTCCATTTGGGGTGGAAATGTTTCAAATTTATAACAAAATTGACAAGGGCATTGTCAAAAACCTAGGCAGAGCCGTTAGTCCATCCTGCACGAAACAAATTAAAGAAGAATGCAAGTTTTGAAACTTTTGGGGACGTAGCTCCCAAATGATAGATTCCGAATCTTCGGTTTATTTGATCTCGTCTATGAAGTATGAAGGTAATTCAAAATCGCAAGTAAAACCGAATGGATGGATGGACGGACAAAATGCAAACATTAACACATTTTTGTAAGCTATTAAAAAATGGACTATCGTGCGATCTTGAAGCACGAACATATGAAATAACAATAAAGCCAACAGCTTTTAAAATAAATATTTGATAGTGACACATCCATCCGGATGGACAAACAGACAGACGATCATATATTGCAAAGAAATTTAAAAAAAACACTTGAATGTCTTTTTTAAAAGACAATGAATAATATTACATGCCCCCTATTGTCTATTTCTTCATTCATCTACCGTTAGTGTTTATATAACATACGCACCGAAATAAAGTAACTGGTTGTAAGTATGTAACACACGCCTTAAAAGATATTTTAAGCTTTAAACAATAAATTAATAAAACATTCAACGGAATTATAATAAATTACCAAATATACCCATAACCATTTTAATGTTAGAGATTTATTATAAATTATTCTTATAATAGTTGCTAGTTAACATGGAAGAATCGTCAAATAATCATATTGTAAATTCAAACTTCTGCGGCATCAAGTTTTCAACAAACAATTTTTCACAAATAATCAGATAAAATGTGTTATTAGCGGACGTTAATTTTATCGATAAATGTCAATTCGTTCTTAGCTAATTGAAAAATTCTAAACGGTTAAGTTTAAATCCGTAAAATATTAAATTTACCAAACAAGACAATATCAGTTCTGAACGAAACCGAAGCCTGAGAAGGATGGATGAGTGCAGCCTTAAAAGTTGATTTCTATATAAATAACTGCAACACAATATCTTTGTGATAGATTTATATGTTGTAAAGTGACCGCCTAATGTCCAAGTTTTTTATGTACGACGCCCCCCAACCCGTCACAACGTAAAACATCTTGGAGCGAGGTCCATTCTTTGTATGGGGCTGTTTTGATGAAGCGAAATGATTTGTGTTAATCGATAAAGTTTTTTGCATTCATAAATAACGTGTTTAACTTTAAAATTCCGCGCCCTATTTAATGTGGTGTGCTATTCTGTTGCAGACATTGAATGACATTAATGCGAACCTTGTAAATAAATGAATTAGTCTGTACAGTAGTGCCTACATTTGAATTTAAGGACCTCCACTGTCCACCAGCATCATTTAAAATAAGCTGTCCTGCCAAGAAATTTTGATTTGTTAACGCCCATTTTTGCAATTCAATTATTATGAAGATAAGTAATACTCGTAGAGATAAGCATACAATTAATTATGACTTCGTCAGAAATTACCAACTGCAATAAGTTTATAACAGGGAATTTTATGTGTACACAAGCTGCTAGATTACACCAGATTCCATAAATTATACTCGCAACGTTTGAAATTCCCACGAATGAAGTGAGCTCATCACATGAACATACCACTTAAAGGCTTAATGGCAATTGCAAAAATATTTACCCGCTAAATCCCACTATCAATTTTTTAAAGTTTTATAGTTTAAAGTTTTTTAGCATAAATAAATATTTGACTCGAAATTGGAATAGAGCTCCGTCTTTGACTTCCATATCGCGTAATTTAAGTTTAGAACCAACATTGATTTATCATTCTTCTTTTTGTGTGTAGAATGACACATTATAATGTTAGAATTGCCGTATAATACACGGTATAAACCAGAGTTACTGCACTGAAGTTCTAAAATGTCTGCCAGACGTTATCCTACCGAAAAGAGTCAAAAATATAGAGGAGTCGTGCATTGTTTAGCCATCATGACAACGCTACAGCACATTCAAACCAGTGAACTCGAGGGGGAGGGGATGATCGTTTCGTAGCCACCGTACTTTGAAGGGGTCCTACACATGTTGTACAATGTACAGGGTGTCCCATTCTTGGCACTTTTATAGAGTATCGTTGTAATGTAATTGTTAGTGCTATCAAAACAGTAATATGTGCTCTTTTTTTGAGTCAAACTTAAAATGGTAAAATGAAAATTTGAACATATTCGCTCGCTTAAGAGATACGGGGGAAAATAAAAAAATGTCAATTCCAAAATCACCTTAGTTAAAAGAGATATAGAAAAATGGTTTATTGCCAAAGTTTCTTTATAATGATTATTGAATAATCTGCCGATTTTAAAATAAGTATACGGGATCAGGGAAAAAAGTTATATGACAACCTCATTTTGTTAAACAGATCGCCCTGTACATCTAATCTAAAAAGATGGCAGATTAAATTCTCTTTTCAAAAATATAACACTAAAAAAATTCAATATTGGTTCAAAAATATTAAAGAAAGATTTTAGAAAAATTAATAAAACTCAACAATCTTTTTGAAATGTGTGTATTTTTTGAAACTTTTTTTGTTTGTAATTCACGGAAGAAAGATAACAAATGTTTACCTTTGAAGTTAACGGAGCGGTGATAAAATCTCAAAAACGTACAGTACAGTGAAAAAATGTCGAAACGCTATGTTTCGGTTACAACACCAAAGGGAAAAGACCCCCTCTAAACAATGGCTTTTCCTTTTATAAAATTCGGCCATGTAGGGATCGACTTTTTTCCAGCCGCCAGAACTTCTCGGCGTGCGATAAAGCTAAAAATCTGTAATTGGTCTTAAGATTCAAATTAATTAAGAGCGCTTCTTTTGCAACCACTTAATCGGATGCTGTTTACTGCAACTCATTTAATTAGTACCGGTTAATTATACTCACTTAAATGGACGAAATGAAACGTCTAAATTCATACTTTTAATTAACCTCCATGGTCTCATGGAATTTCTCAGGCTAAAGGGCGCTTATCAAACTGATACCGACGTAAACCTGCATGGCCTTGCAGTTTTAATGCTCGTTTTCATATACTATTGAATGCTGCTAATAATTACTTAACGGAGCTGAAATTCCAAAATATTAATAGAGTCGCTTAGGGTTTGTGCAAACCAATTCATTTCGAGGAGACCTTTTATGGTTTGATGATTCTCTTACAAATCACCCTTAACGTTTCAGTTTACATAATGACAGACAGACTAAATTTTTTTATTTTGCATTTTAAAGAACTATAAAAAACCATTTCCCAATTTTTAGAACTTTTTTCAATGCGATTTGTACTTGATATTTCAATGTATTTATTTACCTCTGAGAATACTACTAATTGTATTCACTAATTTGCCCTAGTATAAATCGGTAGGTACTGTAATTTGCTATACTCATTGGTTAATTTTTACATGGCATGTTGTCATTGGCGTAATAGTTAATATATACGGTAATTAAATAATTTCATCATAAATAAAGATGAATCATGGAAACACCTCCCAAAAAAAATAAAGGCATATTTCATTAGTATGGGTACGAAGGTGTACGCAGATGACACTGAATGACTCAAAACTGGTTCAATTTCACATAAATTAACTGCTAGGAGCTTTTTCAGTAAGTACATAAAATTTTCAAATGCACCAGCCACACATTGACTTAAAAACAGACTTGCGAAAAGTTGAAAGAAGTGCTACAGATAACAAATAAATATAGGACTGCCGGTAACGATCCGAAATTAATAAAAGGATAAAAGTACGATAAAGTTGACTGCATTTACTGGAAAGGAATTATGAGTGGAATGTCCTGCCAAGTGCAAGACTGCGTTTAATTTGTGAAATATGAAGCAGTTCGTCCATTTCTATACTCTGTCTTTCATTTGTGTCGTTTCATACGAGCATCAGTAAGACCGACGACTATTTATTAACTCGTCCTGTCAGATTTCCAGATTGGATTGGATTTGGGGAACATTTGGATTTGTTTATGGTGAATCTTTATGTCGTAAGCCTTTTGATTTATGATAATTAAAATTAATAAACAAGATAAAAATATATCTGACTGCGTCGCAATTTACTTAAAGTGATATTATACCGCATAGGTTTAATACTAAAATATATTAACTTATAAAAATAATAAATGAAAATGCAGTTCAATTTTAATACTAACAGCGGCGCTACTCCTTTATTTGTAAAGCCCGCTTAAAATATTTTAATTGTATACTAATTTTTACATTATGTTTCAGGTCGATTTTACAGCAGCATATGACAAGACACACGGGGAAATCAATTAAGTGTCACCATTCCGGATGTGTATTTTCCGCACGTTTTCCTGCCGAATTGAAAACTCATTTACTTACACATTCCGATGATAAACCATTTTCCTGCGACCGTTGCGATTACCGTGGAAAAACAAAACAGCAATTGGAAAGGTAACAAATCTCTTTTTCATACTACATATTTTTCGATAACACCAATAAACTGGAAAATCACTACGTTATTGTTTCAAATTTTTACTGCGCTGCCAATTATTACATCTAGATCATAATTCGTCGACCTTTTATGAGTTCAGTTGGAGAAGAGACACTGTAAGATTGTAACGTTTGGAATACGCATACCCTCATCTCAGTATGTATCAAACAATAAGAAATAGTACCTAAAACTGTGAAGAGGAATATTGTAACGGAAATGCTCCAGATATGACGTCGCCTTTGGCGCTCTGGAATTTTCTACGCGTATTCGAGAATGTTCGGGACTTACATTGCTTGCGTGTATAAATGGTTGCGGACCGAACATCGCGGGAGACTACTACCGAACGAGTACGTATGAAACATCGAGCGCGAAAATCTGAAATAAATTGCGAAGTGTGAGTGATATAAATAATCGATATAAATTGTACGGATTTTATAGTGTTTTAGTTTTGTTTAATAAATATTGATATAAATCGAACCCGAATATATAAATAACGTTACATTGGTGTCAGAAGTGGAATTAATTAAAGTAATTAAAAGTAAGATTAAATTAAGTGCTTGTGCTTGTGTATGCCTGTAACAAGATCTGCTGCCGCTAAAATGGAAGAAACGATGCTCAATTTGCTCCAGCAAATCCAAAATGGCCAACAGGTGTTGCAACAAGAAATGAAAAACACCCAAGAGAAGTTCGAGAAGTTGGAAGAAAATTCTAGAAAGATTAATGAAGAAAATTCTAGAAATATTCAAGAGAAGTTGGAAGAAAATTCTAGAAATTTTGAAAAGAAGTTCGAGAAAATGGAAGAAAATTCTAGAAAGATTAATGAAGAAAATTCTAGAAATATTCAAGAGAAGTTGGAAGAAAATTCTAGAAATTTTGAAGAGAAGTTCGAGAAAATGGAAGAAAATTCTAGAAAGATTAATGAAGAAAATTCTAGAAATATTCAAGAGAAGTTCGAGAAGTTGGAAGAAAATTCTAGAAATATTCAAGAGAAGTTCGAGAAGTTGGAAGAAAATTCTAGAAAGATTAATGAAGAAAAAGAAAATTCTAGAAATATTCAAGAGAAGTTGGAAGAAAATTCTAGAAAGATTAATGAAGAAAATTATAGAAATATTCAAGAGAAGTTCGAAGAAAATTCTAGAAATTTTGAAGAGAAGTTCGAAAAGATGGAGGAAAATTCTAGAAAGATTATCGAAGAAGTCTCTAAATCAATTGAAGAAAAAGTTGAAGATAGAATTACGGAAGTTTCCAAAACATTTAAAGCAACATTCGTCGAGATTGAGCACAAGTATGAAGAGCTGCGCGAGCAATTCTTGCGACTGACTACGAAAAAGCGTACTAGTAGTGCCCCAGATGAATTACTGATGGACCGTGTTCTTGAGGTGCCACAGCCTACTCATTACAAGAAGGTCGACCTAGGAACAAATACAAGAGTAGAACGCGACGTTCAGCAAGCCCGAGTGAAGCCACCTACTTTTGATGGTAAGATTCCTTGGACCTCGTACTTTCGACAGTTTGAAGCAGCGGCTGCGGCAAATAAATGGACTCTTCAAGACAAAACTACAGCCCTGATTCTTGCTCTGAGAGGAGATGCTCTGGATGTGTTGCGGACCATCCCCGAGGATCAACAGAACTTTCAACAAATAGTAGCGCGACTCGAAATGCGATATGGCGATAAACACCTTCAGCAAGTTTACTATGCCCAAGTCAAGAACCGAATGCAGAAACCTGGAGAAAGTTTGCAGGAACTTGAAGCGGACATCGCTAGACTGATTCGATTGGCATACCCTACGGCACCGGAGAGCTTTCTTGATCAACTGGCTGTACAAACATTTATCGATGCCGTTCGTGATGGAGATGCCCAGCAGGCTTTGAGACTGGCTAGGCACGACAAAATTGAGAAAGCTTTGGCCCATGCGTTAGAATTCGAAGCCGCCAAGAAAGTTAGTCATGGAAGTGCGCGAGTACGTATGGTGGAACCTCGCAGTGAGAGCCGGGTAAGAACCATCGAAGAGGAAGGTGGCTCTGAAAGTTTTGAAGAAAAGGTCAGTAATGTAGTGGAAGAAAAGGTCAGTAAAGTAGTGGAAGTGGAAGTAGTGGTCAATAAAGCAATACAGTCACTGGCAAAGAAACGTGAACCAGAGCGAGATTGGACACGTTCGCCGCAACTGCCAAAAACCATTGCAGCAGCCGGAAAACTAAGAAAGGTCGACAGGAAGGGGCTACCGTCGACCTGCAGAAACAAAGCCCCGGTCTTCACTGTAAACATTACGTCGTCTGGAAAAGTTCACAATAATGCAGACGCTTTGTCAAGAAGACCGTACAAGGACAACTGCACACATTGTGCTAAAATAGAAGACAAGATTGGCCATCTGCGACGAACAACTGTAGAGAGTGAGGAATGGAAGCCAAGCGAAATCAAAACGGCCCAAGAAAACGACCCAAGTTTAAAAACTGTTCTGAATTGGATGCGCCACGGACAAAGACCAGACTGGCAAGACATTAGTGCCACAAGTCCTGAAGTAAAGAGTTATTGGGGCCAATGGAATAGCCTGACTCTGAAAGACAACCTGTTGTATAGGACCCTTGAAAGTGAAGATGGCACCGAATCGACGCTGCAATTAGTAGTACCTAGAAGCAAAGTGTCGGAAGTATTGCGAAAATTGCATGACGGCGCTTCCGGAGGACACTTTGGTATTACGAAAACGTTGCAAAGGGTACGTGAGCGATTCTATTGGGTCAACCGTAAAGAAGATGTCCGGCGATGGTGTCAAAAATGTGAGTTATGTGCTACTGGAAACGGACCAGTTTCCAAGAAGAAGGCACCCATGAGGCAGTATAACGTTGGTAGTCCGATGGAACGAGTTGCTATCGATATCGCAGGACCGTTTCCCGAGACAGATGGCGGAAATAAATATATCCTAGTCGCTATGGATTATTTCACAAAGTGGACTGAAGCTTACGCCATTCCAAACCAAGAGGCAGCAACAGTTGCAGAAGTGTTGGTAAAGGAGTTCTTTACACGTTTTGGTGTTCCTATAGAAATCCATTCAGACCAAGGAAGGAACTTTGAATCGGCTTTGTTCCAAGATGTTTGTCGATTGGTAGGAGCCAATAAAACCAGAACAACATCTTTGCATCCTCAGTCAGATGGAATGGTTGAGAGAATGAATCGAACGATGGGTAAATATCTTTCAAAAGTCGTGGCAGAACATCAGAAAAATTGGGACCAGTACCTCCACCTTATGGCATATCGATCAGCCGTCAACGAGACCACGGGTCAGACTCCCGCCTGCCTTATGTTGGGTCGTGAACTACGCCTTCCATGTGACCTCGAGTTTGGGCGTAAACCCCATGAAGAATATGTCGCAGGTGAAAATTATGTTGACCAACTAAAGGCGAAGATGAACGACATTCACGACTTGGCTAGAAGTCATATTCAGATTGCCAGCGATCGCATGAAAAATCAATACAACCTCCGCTCGGCCAATGAAACTTTTGAAGCTGGAGATCTGGTATGGCTGCACAATCCACAGAGACGAAGAGGTCTTTCTCCCAAGCTACAAAGACAATGGGAAGGTCCGTATGAGGTGATCAAGAAAATAAATGACGTGATATATCGTATCAGAATGAACCACCGGAAACCGAAAGTTGTCCACATTAATCGACTCGCACGATATGCCGGATCCAACAACAACGAAGAAGTTAGAGGGTATTCGAGAAGAGGAACGCAGCTTTGGGATCGAGCCAAACTTTAACGATTTTATGTCAAATTACGCCCAGCGGAAGAAAGCTCGATTTGGCGTTACTCAGGAAATTTGTCGAAATATTTTTGAGCTTCCGGTTAACGTTTCCATCGCCCATTGTGTCGCCGAAGACCTTCGCATGAGTAGAGGTATAGCTTCCGTATTCCGGAAAAGATTTGGAAGAATCGACGAGTTGTTAAAGCAAAGACCACGAGTGGGTAAAGTACTGCGCTTGGAAGATAGTCAACGCTCTTTGTTCTACTTGGTTTCAAAGAAAACGTCAGAAGGCAAACCCACCTATGAAAACCTCTGGTCTGCTTTAAAAAGCTTAAAGAAACTCATGGCATACTATGACATAAATAGCTTGGCGATCCCGAAGATTGGATGTGGTTTAGATGGGTTGGACTGGAAGATAGTGCGAACCATGATCGAAGTGATTTTTAGAAACACTAGCGTTCGAATTACAGTATGCTGCTTCAACCCACAGGGGACGACCCTCCGCAAAACTGTGGACTGTTACTTTTTCAAGAAAGGTGTTTGTCGAGCAGGCTCTGACTGCAGATTCCGACACGAGGCATTAAAAAGTAATACTAACGCAGTTTCTGAACGAGACGTCCAGAATTAAGAAGGGGGCAGTGTAACGGAAATGCTCCAGACATGACGTCGCCTTTGGCGCTCTGGAATTTTCTACGCGTATTCGAGAATGTTCGGGACTTACATTGCTTGCGTGTATAAATGGTTGCGGACCGAACGTCGCGGGAGACTACTACCGAACGAGTACGTATGAAACATCGAGCGCGAAAATCTGAAATAAATTGCGAAGTGTGAGTGATATAAATAATCGATATAAATTGTACGGATTTTATAGTGTTTTAGTTTTGTTTAATAAACATTGATATAAATCGAACCCGAATATATAAATAACGTTACAATATTATGAAAGGAAAAGGAATGAGATAAATGGAAAATGAATTGAGGAATACAAAACCAACATAAGACGTCTATAAAAAAAGAGTATAAACGAGAATTTACGGTTTTAATTAGGTACTTACACACAGAGTTCTCCATAGTAGACTATATCCATTATATTGTTGTTTCCAAATTGACGGCGGAATGCACGTCTTACTTCCATAATTGTACTTCCCAAAAAGCTCTGTGCGCTATGTTTTTCTTTACTAGAACCTTCTATGGTTAAAATTTCAAAGAAATGTCTCCATAAATAAAAAAAAAGTAAGCATTGCGCAGTGTGCGCATGAACACGTTTGATTTTCCAGTACACTAGAAGCATCTGTGGTAATAAAATATCTTAATAAATAAGAAAGTTAGTATTACGCAGTCTGCGCATGCGCACATCTGCTGTTTACAATATTTGATATGTTTGACTTGACTAGAAACATATGTGGTTAAAATTTCAACAAAATATATTAATCAATAAGAAAGATGATATTGCGCAGCGTGCGGATGTGCACATACATCGTCAAGATTTTTCTTCAGGTGCCAGAGCTATAAGCAACCGAATGAAAAGGGGCGAACGAAATATATTGAAAACTGTAGGAGCAGTTAAGGCCTCGGACGGACGGACAAAGAAAGTGACGCCCAACTTCGTTGAAAAATGCGCTAAAAAATACTGACTCCGACTCGTATGGCATTAAATATGGGGAACCATGTATAATCAAAAAAACCTATCACCCGAAAGTGAGGGGTATTACAAGCCATGGTTGGTCTTTTTATTTATCGACAATTCCTTCGTTTCTTACCGTGCATCGCCCCTCCAGTTCTATCTCATCATTCTCAGTTTTTCTATTACTTCTCGCAGATCTCTTCAGATGTCCTTTCGCTTTCCATGTTTGCTTCACCGGCATCTGGTCTTTCATCCTGTTCAGATGCCTAATCTTAACTGTTGATTTTACTCACTTTCCGTTCTGTTGTTACGATGTCATTCTGTACTTATCTCTGAGAGTTATTCCTTTCACTCCATATTACGGTTATTAATTCACATAGGCTGTATCTTCAGTACTGTATTTAATTTCCAGGTCACACTTCCGAACAAAAGTATTGGTCTATGGATTGGTCTGTATACCGTCATCCTTGTTGCATTGCTGATTTCCTTTATCTACAGCAAATCGTACAGTCTGAATATCCCCCTCTCTTTGGATTAGCATTTCCAAGTACGAACTTAATAACATGGAAAGAATAATTAACGAAAAGGAAATAAACATGAAAATAAACATAGAGAAACAAAGGTCATGGCTACAGAAAAAGAAAAAAGCATCACGAATGTAAAACTGGACCAACAAAACATTCAGCAAGTCAATGTCAATGACTTGCTGAATGTTTTGTTGGTCCAGTTTTATATTCGTGATGATTTTTTCTTTTTCTGTAACCATGACCTTTGTCTTCTCTATGCTTATTTTCATGTTTATTTCCTTTTCGTTAGGTAATTACTCTTTCCATGTTATTAAGTTTGTTTAAGGTCGTTTCCATTTTTTTGCACATATCGCAAACACAATCCGAAATGTGACGGGGGTTCTCCGCCAAGCAAGCATACCGTGAACAATAATAACGTAATGGAGAAAATAAATCGTTATAATTGGTATGCTCTTCGCATTACTGATATGCGTTGTGTGTTAGAAACAGTCAACGCTACTAATTTTTAACGCATTCCTCAAGAATTCTGCATTTTATTAACACGTTCGTCGGTTTGTCCGTCCGTTCAACCCCTTCATAATTTTTTTTGGTAAGTATTAAATGCCCCCTTTTCATTCTTTACTGAGATGCTGCTTAGGTAAGTGAAACGTCAATAACTCTTATATGCGAGAATCGATTAATGTCAAACTCTGTATAAGTTTGCACCTAGTGGTGTCAAGTAAATTCCTACCCTATTTTGCTATTTCATCTTATCCGCAATATTGAATAGAAATCATGATAAAATTTCTGAAAATGGTAGATATTTAATTTACACACCCAAAATAACAAGCTTTGGTTCCCCATCATTACCATGAAAACAATACTAATTCTGTTTTGAACTTTAACTTTAACTTTAATCAGAATGGCAGATGTCATTGGAATGCACAATGATTTGTTTCACTTTATCCACCTTGGCTAACAAAGTGATCATTTTAGCCACCCTTACTGTTCAAGAGACACTTAGCCTACTCATTCAAACCTATTAAAATGTCAATTTAACATCTGTTATAGAATAAACATTATTACTATTACTATTATGTAAGTATGTGTCAGATTTTTCAAAACTGAAAAAAATCTCTATAACATGAGCGTAAAAGGACTATACCTTGCCGTTTAATGGAATAAAACTGATTTTCGTCGCGTCCATTTATGCATAGAAAAAATTGGAACACCCTTTAGTTACAAAATTCAGGAAGAGATGGACCCTTACATGAATTTCCGGTGCTACATAAAATTACCGCTGACGACCCTTGAACAAAATTGGAAAAAAGTGCAAACTCTGTGAGATACCTTGGATTTAAAAAATGTTGATAACCTATGTTTTCGATTACTTCTTGCTGCAACCTAATTATAAATAGCTTTCATTTAAACTCGCTTTACTTTTACTGTTGGTACAACTGGGCATAGTGTTATTAATTTATTATAAATATAATTTTAGTGTATCACAGTTCTTCCTTTTTTGGTTTAGTGTTATGGCTTAGGCCACGCTTGCTTTTTTGGATCGCATTAGGTACTTCTTTTCTGTTTTGCGCCGGATGACTTTCTTTGCGTTTTAATCTAAATGTTGGTACTAAGAGCTTTGCATACTCAAAAATACTAATAAAATAAATCGCACCATAAAAATAAAAAAATTTAATAGAAAGATAGCTTTTTAATCGAATGCGATCGGTCTGCTTGGAAACGGCACGCCGTTCTATCAACAGGTTGTTAAATTGATTTTCTCATATAAGGCTTTTAACAGCGAATTTGCAGATTATGGTTTAATTAATGTACAGAACCAATTACACGCAACTTTTAAAAACACTACACGAAATGAGCGAATCTAACCGCGAAGTCAATTAAATCTAATCGTCTTCATAGTGCCAAAACAGTTTCGCGAGGATAACTTTCATAGTTCTAATTTATTTGTTCATAAATAGAAGTACCCCCGCCCCTTCGGTATTTAAAATTAAATGCATGCCTACTAAATAAGCTTAATAAGATTGTTGTTATGCATGAAACCATATTGTACAATATAGTCCGCAAATGAGCAAAACCGGTCATGGTGTTGCGTCCAGAACAGCTCGCCATTTATTGCGATTTCTGGATAGATTACCATTAATTACATGAGTCGGCGTCCGTCTCACTGCACCTGTCAATTAGCCGTGCACACTACGGTGTTTGTTTAATTTATCTGGTCGAGGTTACCGCTAAAATATGTACTCTACCTATAGAGTAGCCTGTAGTATAAGTTTACAAAAGATACCACCTTACTTATTACTTAAATTTATAACGTTGCTCTATCAGAAAATATTTAAATCGTATCGTTCAGATACGATGTTGGTATCGTTTTATAAATTGTACACCGAACTTTTTGCAGACATTTCAGCATGCACCAGGATTCCAAAAAATTCCAATGCCCTCAGTGTACGTTCTCATCAAGGCTTGCGTCACACCTAAAGAGACATCTGAGATTGCATACGGGAGCGAAACCGTTTGTTTGTCCTCACTGTAACTATTGCTGCAACAATCTAGTAAGCTTTCCGCTATGCGTTGAGGACCCTTTAACGGTATTATTTACAGGAAAATCTACGAAAGCACGTTCTGTTAACTAACAAGCATCCGGGCAAGTCAATTTACGAATGCAAATTTTGCCAGACTGATAGCTTTGAGACGAACTTCGCTAAAGATTTTAAAATTCATTTGCTGACTGAGCACCCCGATACATTTGTCTCAGGGAAAGAAGCAGCCACTTACATTGCGGGCATATACGAAGCAACCAACGACGGAACATCCGTACAAATCTTTAATGATTCAGATGACAAAGAAAGGTAAGACGTGTTCATCATAATTCATGTTGGCAAATTTTTTTTCTAGGAACTACCAAAGAGAGGAAGCTTTATCTCAATTTCAAGATTCGATACAGCCAGTATCATCGCGACCTACAAACAGCAATGTCGGATCTACAATCTTGCTTACATCCGTTACTACTCAGGACTCCTCCGAGCATAAAATACAAGAGGAACTTTTTCCTATGTTAATCGTATCAAAGGACGTTGTGTGTATTGAAAACCCATCAGAAGCCTGGAATATTGGCGGAAGCTACGACGTCGAGGAGTCTGGTAGTTTAGTGCCTTTCCATTCGGTCGGAGAATCCTTATTTAATGAACATTTCCAATAGTTTAACGTATCATTGTTATTACGTTCAAAATATTAGACGTTTGCATTATTTTAGTGGATCATTTCAATATAAATTTCGAACTACATGCAACTTGAATTCCAGCATAAGATCGAATTACCAAGTAACAGAAGTATTATTTTGTGACATGCGATGCTATTTTTTTAATCGACTGCAGTGGTTTAACGTCATATAGCAATACCTTCCTGTGGGTTTTTTTTATCATTCAAGCAGCCATTCGATTTTCACTGCACCATGAAAGAGAATCTTAGGCTTAGTATACTCTCAGTACGACCGCCACAAAGTACCTATTGAAATGTTACGCAGTACTTCAGGGCTAAAACTATAAAATAAATAAATCGGACTATCGCACCACTATTCCTCACTGGAAATGACTTCAAAAGGCCACAAAAACTAGATTATCAAACAAAATTTAATGGCTTTTTCTAAAGGCGCGCAAATTTTCCGTAAACCCACTATTTTCGTACACTTGTATTACCACGTAAACAAATTGGTATCAATTATTTTCTGATCTAAACCTATTTACTTTAAACACAGATATGCCTTTTATACGAACATAAAACCTAACAAATAATTTCTAAAAATAAGAAAATTCCTTACAAAGAAACACCTGCAAGTTCCTCATTTTACAATATCTTATCAACAAAAATAAAAATAAACTGTAAACAGTATTTCGACAGCACGTTGCAATCATTAATAAACGATTAGTATTGTCTGAAGATGACTACCCTTTGCTGTGCAAAAACACTAAAGTTTTTCGTTATGGTTTTTGGTATTTGTAGCGGATTGTTGAGTTATGTTATTGTAGTTGTACTAAAATTTAAATTTAAAATCGGCGTGCATACGTGAATCCAATTTCAAAATAAAAAAAAGTTGGGTTATGAAGTATGTTTTCATTTGGTTGACTGTACGTTCTAACGAAACCAATTATTCAATAAAAAAAAGTGCAAGTTGTAAATGAAGAAGAAAGATCCAGAAATAATTCCAATTCAAGAAATCAAGAAACTAGAAGGGACAACAATGACAGACAAGAATATCAATAATAAAATAACCTTCGATACGAATCGAATAGAAACTAAGAGGTCGAATGCAAACATTAATATAAATTCGGAAAACGAAGGAGGCCACCACAGGAGTCCCCCAGAAGATCCAAAGAAACCAGGAGAAAATAAATTTAATTAACCTCATTCAAAATTATTATCAAACAATTAGAAGACAAGATAAAAAAAATTGAAGAAGATAAAAAAGAAATAATAGTAAAACAAATTGAAATTCAAGAAATTACAGAAGTTAATATCCAACAAAAAGATAATTTAAAGAATTTAATTGGAGATTTAAAGCAAGGCACAAAAAAATTCAAGAAGATGAAGAAAAAGAAAGAAAGAGTCAACCAATCATTTTAGAGAAGTTGGAGGAGGTAAAAGAGCAAGTGGAAAATGTTAGGTACTTAATACTTGTAAGAAGAGAGAAGAAATCTTAGAAGAAAGGTTAGTCATAGCTCAAGAAGATCTTTTGAGAGCACAAGAATATAATGTAAAACTTAAGAAAAAACCAGAAAAGAGAATAGCCTGTTGTTGGGGGCAAGAATATTCTACAAAACAAAAGGAAGCAATATTACTACAAGATATGAACAAGAAGTGAAGTTGAGGGAAGAAAGAAGTTGAATTTGGACAATATTCCAAGTTATTGAGTGAAGAAGAATTTAGCGAAGACGAAGAAGAAGTTGAAGAAATAAGAAGTAGTCCAGAAGTGAAGAATTTTACTACGGGAATTTTAAGAAGAATGGAGAAGTAAAGATGTGAAGAAAAGTTTCAAGAAAAATTATTTGAAGAACCAGTTGAAGAGATTAGACGGTATCTTATTAACTGGACGAAAAGAATGAAAAAAAAATGTTTTTTCGAATTTTTTTGTAATTTTTTTATTATACATATATTACGGCGCTACGATAGCGCGAGTGGATCTCAAAAGTCTTTTTTAATGGCTATATATCCTTACATTGCTTAGAACAGCATAACGCAAAGATACCATGAAAAACGCTGACTGCGTAAAAGTTTTTTGGAAGAATTAAACAAGTTGGGATTGGTTGAAAGGAGAGCTCTAACCAATGAAAATTAATGATTGGTTGTCTTAACACTCTGCAATTTTTGGGGATGTTTAATTATCTAAAGATTGGGTGGCAATTAGTCTTTGGGGAGACTCAACAAGATTTTCGATTTTGCAATTAAATTTAATATACATCTTAATCAAATTACTATTAAATGTTGATAAATCACAAAAGATATTCTGAAAATTCTATAATGAAACAAGTTGGCAGGTAAGACTTAACGGTTAAAATCACACCAACACGGATTACTCTTCACGCACCACACATTACGCCCCCTCAACTATGCTCTTTCAAATCCTAATTGTTTTAAAAAATAAACAGTACATTATTTATTAGCACCCAACTATCTACGTAAAAATGGCAATGAATCACTGGAATATATAAAACAAAAACAATGAAACTAGTGCATAACAAACCTTTGCAGTATACATAACACAAAAGGGCAAAATGCATTATGTAAAAAAACAAAACGGGATTGCAAATTTAACATCGTAAAATTGAATTAATAAACTTGGTAATAAATCGACAGACGACACGGCACTCGAAAGTACAATTACAAAATTAACAAATAAATAAGTACACTCGCAAAATAATTTAAGAGCTACCTACTCCGAATTTTGACTGAACGTTAGCACGACTCGCAGTAAGATCATCAAAAGGACGCTCAAATCGCTATCTTCCCCTTTACTTGCGGTGTGTCCAAGTGAAATTACTTACACGTATTGCCGGATTTCTTAAAAATGTGTGCATCAGCGTAGGTTGTATATACAGGGTGACACCTCTCAATTTTTTATTCCCGTTTAAGAAGTTGCAATTTTTGCTTCAGCGTTAAAAAAGTACCTCCTTGACCCCTTGAAATAAGAAAGCCCGGTTTCAACCTTAAAATTGAAAATTCTATCAGTATCTCGACTCTTAATATTGGCGACTAAAGAATTTTTTACTTAATGCAAGACATTTTTGTTTTATATATGGGGTGTTCAGCAAACAAAATAATGGATAATGTTCGGTAGAATATCATTTATGAGTATTAAGTTATATAAGCATAGTAGGAACTATAGGTACCCCCTCAATCGTTAACGAGCAGCAATAATTAAAATCATTTACATAACAAGTGTTGGTTGACATATTGCTGTTAAGTTTTCTTTTAATTAGAAAGATTTACTCCAATTAGCGACGGCTTTAAATCATAGCAAAGCAATCAAGTTCGCGTGCGAACTGCACGTATATTATTAGAAATGGAATAAATCAGTTAGTAATCTACCATTACAGTCTATAAAAGCGATTTGTGATGAATTTCCGACATAACTGAACGTAACTAAAAAGAACGTTTCGTATTAATTACGTTTGATCTATTTCTTGCTTTGTCGGGTATAACGATGATGGCAATGCCTACAACAATCAACTCAAAAATTGCGCAAGAAAAGAACAAACTTTTTCTGTTAGACAAATAAATTGGGCGTAAGAAGTTTTATTTGCGGCGAATTGGACGATTTACATTTTCGTACAAATTGCAATTAATCTTCGCCTTTTAACCGCAGAGAAATCGAGTGCTTTAAATGATAGTTGATTGAGAAGCACGAACTGAGGTAGCGCATCCTCTTATAGATATTGACTTATTTAATCGTGTATTTTATTTGGTGCCAACTTTACTCTTTAACTCTTCTTTGGTGGATCATGCAAATCTTTTACTAGTCTATCATTCAATGGCGTGTTAAAAGCTCTACTATGAAACAGGATCTTTACCACATTCTTCTGAGAATATTATTGTGTTATATTATGATATTACGTTCACACACCCTGGTTCACACCTAACATCGAGAATACTGTAACTTACGGTTTGGGCCCTGCTTTCGAACAAAGCTTGAATGTGAACCCGAATGCAGATTTCCACAAAATACAATGAAAGAAGTTGAAGCCCAAGCGATTAAAAGACAATCCAAGTATTGGACACAATCCTCAACGTTTTGGACGATAACTTGAAAGCACTTGGGTTCATATTAAAACCTTAACTATAACAGCCGTTAATTCCTAATGTCACCACAAGAAATCCTCGTACGTCTCATCCAAGAAAACATCGACTGATAGACGGTATGGTATGAAGTTCGCCAAGTCTGCGAGGTGAGGCGGCGCAGCGCATATAAAGAAAACGAGATTTTACAAAGGCGGTACGAAAATCGAGAGGTAGGCTAATATTAAAATAAATGTGTTGCGCTAGCCGACGCTCGAGATAAATCGAGACGCGCATGGGCAGATCTGGGACAGTTTATAAAAAATTAGTGTTAATACGAATAATAGTGACCACACTACAAAGTTTTAAATCAATAAAATGTAAATACCTATATTGATTTTTCTTTTAGATTAATTGGCTATTTCATGAAAAAATATGAAATCATATTTGTGTCAAAATCATGTCTTCTTGTGGGTGAAAAACAAAAAAAAAATGGAAGTGCAGAAGATCTGAGAGCATCATTTACACCTTTGATACTATGTTCTTGTGATGGAGCACTACACAACGAGTTCGAACTGTTTTTATACACATGTAAATGTTAGGGTCTTGCATTTAGATCTGAATAAATGCACGTCTTTATCTTAAATTTAAAAAAAAAGGAAGCTAAATATAATCACATGCACATTATAGTGAAACCATGAAAAACGAAGTAACCCACGCAGACTTTCTGTTAAACAAAAAAGCAGAGTTCGTTACCGATGTGTTGCTTACCCGTAGGAGTATATCACCACCCCCTCCTGAATCCAACATTTTATAATGCTTCTCTTTTCAAGCATAATATTATACTATCACAGTCACAGATTTTTATCTGTCCATTTTTCAACATTCAACTCGCTACCAAAATTTAAAAAATCTCGCAATTTTTACTCAGAACACTGACAGTTAAAACTTACTGCGTTTGATCATTGTTTTCATGGCTAGGTAGGATAGCCCTGAGCAGCCTTGGCTGAAACCCCACCCATTCAAAAATAAAGCCAAAATAAAAATAAATAAAATAAAATAGGTACACAAAACAGCTCCCTTGTGGGTATGTTATGTACATTTGGGTGCTTAAGTTCTTGTTGTTTACGTTATGTCGTTATCCATATTTAAATAAACAATATTTACATTAAAACAACTGCCGTTGGTCTTTCATGTTTCACTTATCTGATAAATAACCTCCTACGTAGGTAAATACGTTCCTTAAGGATCAAAATATGGGCTTTTTCTTCTCGGCCAATATAAGAAGGTTTATACAAAGCACAAAAAAAAACAGAAAGAAAGAAAGAAAAATAATACATTCGAATTGACAAAAAAATTTTTGTTACGGTAAAAATTGCGCTATGGATAGGTACCTCCTTAACATTGTTGTATGGAGGTTACCCTCAGAAATTATATGGAATTGGTGGGTAGGATCCCATATTAGAAGGTACTTTATGCAATAGTAGAAAACAAACGCAAAACGATTATACAACTTAAAGAAAAAATCTGCCTATTACAAACATTCTTGTGTGGGCTTGTTGCCCCAGATAATTAATAACAATGAAGATATTTGAAGACGAAAAATATAATTTATTTAAATAAAATTTCAATGTTTTCTATGGTAAAGTAAAGCGAGCCACGATGTTAATTTTTTTAGAAAAAAAGCGATTGTTTTCTGCATTGTAAGTTTACGTAATTTAAATAATATCGAAAGATGATTGATGAACTTATATATTTTTTATTTTTTCTTTGGGCTATCGCTAAGGCCTGATAATGACATAAAGTCGAAATCGATAGCCCAAAGAAAAAATTAAAATTTTGGTGCACAGTAGGTACCTACTTATATAAAAAAAAACCTTTAATATGCTTCTAATTTTGGAATAGGTACCTACCTATTTCAACACGGTTACGAGAAATGTGTTTTATTTTTATCTCATTTCTACAACGTTGTCGCGTACATCCGTCTTCTTCAAAAGCTCCTTTAGGCCAATCAGAGCTCGTAAACTGTCACTTTGACTTGCAATTATTACGCAGAGCCGTAGCCAGATTACTTAACTCTAAGAGCGGGCAAGGGGCAAATAAGTCCACAGGGCGGGCGGGTAAAATATTAAAATTTGCTGTTCCGCTGAAGAAATTCGTTTTTAGCGCAACCCACGAAAGTGGAGCGCTTTATGACTTCACATTTCCGTCCGTCTCTCTGTTGTTCCGTGTTGTACCTAACTCAGTCCCTAAACATCGTATCGGATTCGGGTTTTCGTTATTGATTATTATTATTATTATTATTATTGGTCAAAATTGTTATTTAGCCACCAATTTTGTTAGGAAAAAGATCAAACTCGATCGCTCGATGACGAAGAAATGATGACATGCGTATTTTTTGTGAACAAAATACTTTACCCGAAAAATCTCAAAATTGTTATTTATACATCACTTTTCTTAAGAAACTCAAGTGCTTACTCACTTACTGCATCCATCACGTTATTGCAAAATATTGATCTAAATCCTTATTTATGCACCAATTTTCTTGGGAGAAAGACGCTCGATGCCCAAGAAATGATACATGTGTATCGTATCGACTTTAAAACCAGTCTCCATCTGCCTATGTGAGTAGGTTGCTCTGGAAATACCCACGTAGTATTGGTTTTGGTTCTGACTTCTTCTTACAAAATACATCAGTACCTACACATAATTTGATACCATAACGTTGAATTGATTTAGGGCCGATTCTACAATACAGGTACCGAGAATAAGCTACCTATGCCTAGAATAAATGTCGACGGTTGCGTTGGTTAGGTACCATTGTGTCAACCAATGGCATACATGTTGGCATGGCAGTTATTCCAAAGGATATCTTATTTTGCGTAAAAGTGTAATTGTAGAATCGGCCCTTAATAAATTAAAATAATAAGAACATTTTCTTAATATCGAAAATGATTGAAATGTTCACTCTTCTTTTCTTAATTTTTTAAGAAATATACTTTACTTACCCATATCATTTAATTATGAGCATGCCTAATTGTAGGTATTTCAAGAGCGGGCAAAGTGAATCTCAAGAGCTAAAGTCCCTAGATTACTAAAGTAACGCGAATACACGGACTTCATTTTTTTTATGAAGTCCGTGCGCGAATAGCAGCCATTTTGGCTCAGTATGGGAACCGCGAAATTGAACCAAGTATGTATTTTGTAGTCGCTCTTGGATTGTGCGGATACTTGGATAGGGCAAGTTTTGTGAGCGTATCGTTCTAAATATTTTAATTGATTTTCATTAAAAGTTATCGAAAAATTGTCTCCACTTCTAGTTATTTCTTTTCTCGGTTTCTGTTTTCTTGCAAAAGATGCCCTTCTCTAATGAATTAATGGTTACAGCAGTACTCTCCTGAATGTACGCACAGCTATTATAATACAAAACAACAAATGTCAAACCTGAGGCCTGACACTAAGTGTCAAACGGCCATTTTGGCTCAATTAGCAGTTTGTTTTGTCTAATACACTGGCCTAATGAATCGCGCTACTTTAGTAATCTAGGGACTTTATCAAGAGCAAGCTTCTTGCCCCCTCTAGCGACAGCCCTGAATGAATATAGGGTATCGTAATTATATTTTATTGTAGTTATTCGCTGATGATGGCAGTCTTGCTGTCGAAACGCGTTCGAGGTTTTAATATATTATTGTGGTTATTGGTGTTTTTGTTTTACTTTTGCAAGTTCAACAGCCACAAATAGTTTCAGTGCTTCCAATAATGTAGGTACCTAGTTACGCCAACGTAATTTCTTGTATGTGTCTGTCTGTTATGCCAGCTTTTTTCCCTGGCATATTGTGTGAATAACATATTTTATATGTTCTTATCTTTTCTTACGCACAAAATTCTTCCTTTCATTATGGTTATTTAACAAACCGAATACTGTAAACCAGGGGTGCTCAAACGGTCGATCGCGCGTACTTTTTGAGTCAATCTCGAGAAGTATTTGGATTTTTAATCCTGCATCACACATAGTTGCAGCCTGTCAATAGTCGATGGATCGCAGTCTAACAACATTAAGTAGATAGTCAGCAGTTTAGGTTTGGGCACCACTTCCCACAATCCCTTTATGTGGGTTTTTTAAATGATCGATTCAAAGTACTTTCTTGACAGAATTATATACATACCCATTTGTTCATGTATTCTTAGAAGGGAGAGTCTTGTGAACTGAATCCTATGAATATTTCCTGTCATGCTAGAGTACCTACGATTCTCAAGTCGTGTACGAAATTAATAGACACACAGTCCTTGACATTTCAGATTTCTATAACTTCACGATCAGATTTCTAGTTGCAAATCAATCAAAATAAGACATTTATTTTGTTACATGTATTTGTGCTGTTATTTCATTACAAAATTCACACATACAATAAAATGATTTAATAGAGGTTAATAATATAGTAACTCAAATCAAATATACAAAAAATACTTCAATACTTCATTTTATACAATCTACTAATAAAATAGGTACATTTGTTAGACACCATAAAATTGTGTATACATAATATTCTGGAATGCATACAAGCTTTATCACTTCCTTTACATCAATATATGCACATTAAAAGTATAAAAATATAACAAGCTCATATAAAATTTATACATCTTGCGATAACTTTTCCCTAATAGAAGTGTCAATAGCCATAACAATTAGAAAATAATAAGGTATCAAGTAACTTTATGCTCTCTAAAAGCTGCTTCGACATAAAGATCAAGTTACACCTTTTTAGACTGAGTTTCGTAGCTATGCAATCTGTTAAACCTGTTAGTTTTAAACTGGCCGATATTATCAGAGATTGAAGTACGTTTTGAGAAGAAATCAGCCAGCTCCTTCGCATTTAAGACAGACGCTAAAAATTGTTCTACTGTGATGTACCACTCTATTTGGCCTTTAAGACTCGGATTACCGTTTTTATCTGGAGACTACAAGGAACGTTTTATTCGCGCTTATCTTTAAGGAATATGTATACTCACGTTATCTGCGACTTTGACTGGATCGTACATTGCTGCACAGGCGGCTGCGACAAGACTGTCATCGGACTCGTCTCGATTTCCGAAAAATTGCTTTCCCACGTCACCCAATTGAAACAGTTGAACCCCAACATTGGCAATGGAATGGTAGGTATCCTACGGTGTTATTACAGTTGTGAGTTGTAAACTTTGATAGGTCTATACCTGATCGTCAGGTTGTGCTTGAAAAATGTCATAAACGGTTTTCCATAGCATAACAAAGTGAGGTTGGGTCATTTTCGGTACCGATTTAGAATTGTTTTTACTATCAGTACATCGCGCGATATTCCGTAGATTGGTTAAGCTTTTTACTTCCCAAGTAGATTCTCCGCCTCCACTCTGTTGAGTCATTGATGTATCCACTGACTTCAATGATTCAAGGGATCTAAAAGGCAAACCAATGTATTGAGTACAGTACTACTGAGTGGGGATGTGAAAGCAGAAATACGTAAGGTGACAAATTGGAGAATACAAGGTTTGTAGTTGGCTCTGCATAACTTCACATCCACTGTCAAAATCATACAAATTTTTCATTATCATTACAAAATCATGAACAAATTAAATAGTGTATTAAAATTGGGGAATACGATAAAAAATGTAAATTGCAACACAATTTCTATCAAATCAAGCGGTATGTATAAGGTCACTTCCCTTCCAAACAAATTTCAAGTTTCAGATTTTTGGAAAACATATATTCGAGGTGCAAGTATGTCATCTGGGATTAAGAGGGGTGAATAGCAAAAGATGAACGATGATGAATTTTACCAAAACTTGTTTTAGTCGCAATTAATAAGAAATCTACAAGATATACCAGTAAAAGGTTCACACGTTGCGTGGAATGTCAACCTCGATGCGCATCTAAGAGACAAAAAGCAGTCGAAGACGCGAGCAATGTCATTAATGATGAATGTAAGCCAACTCCGGTCCCAAAGAAAATTGATGAATGTGAAATTAAAATTGCGAAATCTTGCACGCCAAATCCATGTGAATTTGTTTGTTCTGGCGTGCTAGTGGTAAGATTTCCTCTTTTGTCGGTCGGTGAATGACTGGTTTTTAGAAAGACACAAGTCAGTGTCCTGAGGAACCAATAGCACAGGTGCCAAAAGGAAACTGGAGCAAACGCAATCCCTAATATTTCCATTTTAAACCTTTAAAAAAATTGCAAAACAAATCCATTTTTCAAAATAAAAAAGTATAATGCAATAAATCTTGTCTTTGTATTTAAAGTCAAACTACATTTTCAAAACAAACCTTCTCCTATTTGGCGTAATACCTGCAAGGCAAAAGAAAGTTGAAGCACAGCTGCCACCTCCTAAGCATATGTCTACACTCATGATGAGGCTTTTTCTTCAATATCAACAAAACAATTATTTCAGAGCATACTTACTGTATTCCGGAAGCTGTAGGCGTGGAAGGTTCTTCAGGTGTGCTACTAAGCGTGTCTAATGTCACACTTTGTTGTTCCAAAACATCGAAAAAATCAGTAGCTTCCGAAGCTATCTCGGCACCAGATTCATTTCGAACGGGAGATTCAATGTCGGCCATACACAACAATGGCGGAAGGTGTACAATAAAAAGCAACTTCAGTCGCTGTGTTGGATCTGCTGTACATGTTAGGCCCAAAGCTGCAACTAATTCTCTAAAGTTCAAGTAGCCATCTCGATTTTCATCCAATAGCTAACAAGTATCAAAATTACATCTGTATCTAAACTTTGTACAACTTACAGTAAAAATTCTCCCAGCTAACGACTCGGCTTGTTCTCCTTTACCCCAAGGAGAAAGAACTGCAAATAGTAACTTAAAATATTCAAAATCAACTTTATAGCCTTCATATGGTTGCAGCGAGGGGTCATACCTCTCCAGTGCTGGCCTCTTTTGACTTAAAATTTCTTCCCTAACTACACTTAAAATGTCCTGGAAGAAAGAAAACGTAGTATAAATTTGGAGATCAAAGCAACTCACTTGTAACTCGTGAGTCGTAAAGAAACTATCATTAATAACACTTCTAATAACGTTCCTTTCAGAATTGTCTTCCAATTCTTGGACAACCCGTAATCGATGCTTCAGACGGAGACGTTCTATTTGTACAGTTGTTAGGGATCCATACTTGGTGTAGGATTCATAGACTAATGTTTGAATTGAAATGCTCTAAAAGAAAAACTAATCTGCATTTCTGATATACCGAAGGGCCAAATAAGAATGGCATTTTTATATAAATTTCACAGAGCACTTTTCCCTTGGCCATATTTATGTAAACGGATTTTACACGAAACGTGTTCATTGTAGTACAAGACCCCACATAAAGTCAACCTTCGCTCATCTGTTTACCGTGTGAAATACATTTTTTATCTTAATATGTAAACAAACACATTGCAAATGGGTTTGCTAAAAAATTAAATCAAGTGTACCCTTAATTAAAATGGATGTACCTAATTAATATTTCTGTACTGTTCCGTGTGTAAGAGAAGGACGCAGCGTATCAGCTCATCTTGGTGTAAGCACTCATGTAAGAGTGCGCATTAAGGGTACTCTTGACTTAATTTTTTTAGGCAACCATTTCCAATGTGTTTGTTTACCTTTACATAATTAAGATTGCTAAAAAATGTATTTCACTCAGTAAACGGTTGGCCTTATGCGGGATCTTAGACTATTACTTTCATATATATAGCTGTCTGCCATTTTTACTTAGCTACCTATTTTACTACAATGCGAAATGTCTTACCCTTTTCTGACTATCATAATCCTTATTTCTAACAGCACCTCTTCCATCATCATTATAAATTCCCATCAGATAATCCGACAATAATTGCATAGCCTCCCCTTCGTCTCCACACTTTAACAACTTGTCTTCATTCCAATCCAAAATCATTAGCGCCATTTGAAAAATAACCTTAGCGCCATCATAGAAGAAGCAATCCATAACGTTTACTGCACTCTCGTAAGGCATTACGCTTAAAAATATTGTCAAAAACCACGACAAAGAAATGATGTTAATCATCCCTAGCTGTTCTAGCTTGACGTGCAGAGTTGATAAATGTTCGGAAATTAAATTATCGAGCACTCCTTGATCGACAACAGCACCAACAACTCTAGTATTATAGTAGTCCGGTAACAAATTTTCGCATAAGGTTGCTAGCAACCAAAATGCCTCCTCCTCTCCGCAATATATAAGCAGAACGGACGCCACAATGTTCATTGCTTGGCAATAGCCGATGTTTGGATTGCGTAACGCGTACGCGCATAGAATTCGGCGCAAGGCATCTATACCGATGGAATTTTGAAATGCAGGATGTTCTGGTAAAGAACGATGTAAATCGCGTTCGATTTCATCGTTCGCCGTTGACTGCTTCAGCAACGCTTGATCAACTAACGACTTGTAATATCCAGGATACGTCGCCTTTTCGTTTGCCGCACCGGAGAACGCCATCCACGTGTCCATTCTTAGCGAATCGGGTATACCTTGCAAAACCAACTTTGCTATATCAATCGTTCTGTACATAGACACGCCTCTGCCAAATTCATTAAAGTGTAATTCCCACAACTTTTCTCTCTCCTTCTGCTTCTTCGACACATCAAATATGGGACTGAGTGGAAACAAGGTCATTAACGGGGGCTGACATTTCCAAGATGTTATTTCTTCTGCAGAGGAGAACGACTGAGCGTCGCCGCTACTGCCATTGCTATTCATACTCATGGTCTCAAAGGAGCTGGAAACCATCATAGTTAATGAGAAATATTGGCGTATTTATAATTTTTCGTTAGATACAGGATGTTTCAAATGTAAATAACAATGGCGATTTCCAACAACAAATAAAGTTTTAATTTATACTTTACAAATTTGTATGATGGCTGCCAAATAAGCAACACCAGTGTCTCAAGATCATGCAACAGTGAAAAAACAAAGATCTAGTGTGGGAAATATATATGACATATGGATATGAGTAAGGAGGTGAACCTAGTAGACAAGTACCTTCAGATTTAGAATAGAACTATTCAGACACTACAACACTACGACAATTGTTTCAATCCAACACAGAATAACTGTGTACATCTTCAAAAATATAGTTGTGGGAAATCGCCACAAGCATTTGGTTTAATTTATAAACAACCTGTACCCACTAGCCATTCAATGTAGTGCGTATAAATATCTGGAGCGATTTGACGAATCTTTTATAGCCACACTACTCAAGATGCAATGGTAGGGTTTGAAGTTGTTGTAAGAATAAAACGTGCACTCGGACTTAGATGATACATGCACACCCAAACACAATGGGCCACTTTCACATTTTTTATTTATGTGATAAATCAATGCGGAACATAAAGAAATACCAGTATGCAAAATTTCACAATCCTAAACACACAAACTTTTAAATTATCTAAAGATAAGTTTTTCGCGCGCTTGGAAATCATTTTAAACGCTAGATTTTGCCGGGCATGGTTGTGACGTCACAACTGTGTAAAAGTTCAGTGGCGGTATACTTGCATGTATACTTCAATGCGACGACGTAGCGTATGCGTTTGTTGTTGCTTACGTTTTCTCCTGTGTACCGTGAAATATATCGATATCTTTCTGACGGCACGTCTTGAGGCGGCTCTTCCCGTACGCACTTCGCTTCGAGCTTTGCATGACAGCAATACTCGCGAGCATTGCACGAGTACAATTTTTACTCTTCACGTGCAGTCCTTGTTCGAAGTACGCCAAGTGTAGTTACGTTACGCAGATTAATGAGGGTAATACGAGGGTAATAAGTAAGAAACAAGCAGCAGCAATAGGTAGTTCTTTTAGATCATAATGAAAAAAGTAAAATAAGAAGAAAAAAGGTATCGAGTAGAGTAAAGGAGTGGTAGGTATAAAAAAACGAGGTGCTGCCAATCATATTTATCTATTAATAGAAATCAATGTAAATCACTCTGAAGATTACCAAATTTACTTCCGGATGCATATGCTGACATTAAATATACTTATACTTAATTGTTGAAATTAAATTCGTTAAAATGCCTACAATACATTTTTCTGAAAGTGGCATTGAAAGTTTTACTGTCTCATTCCATCCAATATAATGAATATATTGTCTTATTTCGAACCTTGTATTCATGCTCGTAATCAAACTACACATTGCAACTTTAGCGCGCATAGCTTCGCGCCGCGCCAAGTTTTCCGACAGATTTGAAAACGTCAACACGACCCAAGTTGCAACAAAGTGCTGCTCGTCTGGTCCCTTCACGTTCGAGCTTTGCATGAATTCATGTTGGGCAATGTTCGTACAGGCAAAGCTCGAAGCGAAGTCCGTACGTGAAGGGCTGCCTGAAGAGATTAAATGTGGAAAATTTTTAGTCCACCTAAAAATACACTATTCGTACTAATTTTTTTGAACTTTCTCTATCATGTCTCCACCCACACACACACATGCACCCTTTATCGTTTTTTGCGCACAAGACACAAAACAAACCTGGCCGGGCGGACCTCTACAAACCTGGATCTATGAACACAAGAATGTAAACAAATATGGCGACCACAGTTGTGACGTCGCACCAATGGCAGGGCGTTTGCAGCTGACGTCATATTTAAAGGGATTCACAGTAATTGTTTTTACTATTTGTTTAAAAACAAATGATCTTTTTCAAAAATTAGTATTCGCCTCATGTATGGCGTATATAGTACTTGCCACCTGTGCAAATTTTTTGCTAATAACGAAACCTTGCAAGTAGCCCATTATTGGTTGGAGTGCTAGTTACCTTATCAATCAATACTTATTAAATTGCGAAACGAAAGCCTTTAGGGTGAAAAGCTTTGTTCTAACTTTTTATATGTGTAGGTGAAATGTACAGTTTCTCCTGCATTATCAACTGATACATTTTCAGATGAGAGTAGGTAATCAAACTGCTCCAATCATTTATGCGCACCCTGTGTCATTGTAACTATTCAACACAATCGTCCATTAATGGGAGTGGGAAATTTAGTATCCCCTCAAGTATCAAAAACAGCAAGTTTCAGTTTATATTTTTTGTAAACAACCTGAACGTTTGAAGGAACAAAATAGCTACTGAACGCGTCACATGAAAAAGCAGGAACTGCTAATCATGAATGAGTTTACCATACTTCATTTTTTTACTACATAGGTATAATTACAGTTGAAATTGATGCACTTAATGTGATTGGAGTTTGACGAGCCAATAAAATTCACCTGAGTTTATAATAAACATATAAAAAGTATCTCTAATTGACTAACCTCAAAACCAATTGACAAGGCCATACAATGTATGTTGCATGTCTAGAGTTTCTTTTAATATTTTATTCAATACTGATATGATGAGAATAGATATTTGAACAATACACTCAGTACGTTTAAATATATTATTTCACCTGCATCTGCTTGAAATTTCAATACTAAAGGATACTGAACTTCCTTTCCCTTGTCATTTTGTCATTAAATCCTGAAATAAACTTACTGTAAAGGCGCTTGCGTCCTTGATAAAAGTTCAGATATTTTTCTAACGAGAAAATCTCTATCAGAGACTTGAGCAAATAAAAAATTGGTTTTATCCACTTCATTCTTTGTCGTAACAATTATTGCCTTATCGAGCATCGCATTACTTACATTATTTTCTATATTTTCTACAACTTTGATGTCACGAAGTGGAATTACTAAACTGACTAACGACTTTACCTGCAAATGAAGATTTATAATTAAGCTTTGCTGAATGAATAACATGAAATACGTGTAAATGAAAGCTATGACTAAAGGTGGGTTCATAGCTCTCCATTCATCCATTGTGTTGATCCGTCAAACGATTAGCACATTTAAAACCTCACTCTTGTTAAAAACGGACCAATGAAAACGTAACTGTTCAATTTCAACCAACTTTTCCGTCATAAACGGACGACGTACGATTTAAAATTTTACTGCCTTCAGATTGGCTCAGCTAAAGTATAAATGGAAACGTATGAACGGAGAGCTATGGGTCTACCTTTAGTGTGGCGGCTTAGCTTTGAAAGCTGGCAACATTGAAGCTTGATATGCTAGTCACATCCTCAGTGGAAAACTTTGTGAAAAAAAATAACCTCTCTCTCCCTGTTATTAGTGGCTAAGGTTATAGACATTGTTACCATCTTATCATGGTGATAGGAGCTCTTATAACAGAGGCAAAATTGGTCAATCTAAGCCGAATATCTTAAAATGCAAACACATAACTCTTATATTGTTTTCCATTTTGGTAAAATTCGTGTGATTCTTGTGATCCGTTGATCATTTTGTATGGGCAATGAATCACAAAAATTATATTGGCATACTTTTATTTATTTTGTATAAATGAATAAAACACAACTTTGTGTTTTTTTTTAATTTTTTAGGAAGGACACCGCAAAATGCTTAAAAAATGTACCTATTTCTTTACCTAACTACTATACAAGGTGTTACATATAAGTATGTAAAAAAAAGAGGGGATCAAAACAAGCACTTTCTAAACAAAGGCTTCAACATGTTTCGTTGTCAACCGCCAAATTTAATCCAACATGATTATACATTTCGGTTTCAACACAAAGGTGCCCCCCCCCCCCCTCCCATTTTCACAAATTTAATGTATGTACCTAAACCTAAAACAAAGAAACAAATCTTAATTGGAAAGTAGATCACTTCCAATCTCGTAAAATCTACTAATTTGTTGCTTTAATGCTTTAGCTAAGCCACCGTGATACATTCAAAAACAGCTAGTTCATTGGCATGTATTCCATAAGGACTTATTAGTTAATTACAAATGTTGAATACGAATACAAGGCCTTCTTAACAAGTTTTATAGGAAATAAAATTTTATGAACTTCAACTGAATGAGCGAGTCTTGTAAGAAACGAATGATATCTTACCCTACTTTCAAAACAAATGTAATTCTGTGACAAAAATAGTCGACCATTAACATGTTTTTTATTGTATGGCGTCATTAACGTGCAATCAATGGAACCATCCAACTTTTCCGTGGTCGGTAACCTAAACATTAGTCTATACGCTTCTGAATGTGAACGAGCATCCAGATCTCTTTTCAAAAATGACGCCTTTTTCGGTACATTTTTGCTGTTAAAAACATACCTTTATTGAAAATGTAACAAATCAGAATAACTTACTTACCTAAGTTTATTTAATAAGTCTCTATCCTCATTGAAACATCTTTTATCGTCTATTAACCTGAAATTAAGTATTGGTGAAATGTTACGGTCAATATTGTCCCTACCTTTTTGCAGCATAATCAGCTAATTGTTCCATTAATGTAAACGTTTCGTTCTTTTTTAAAAACATACTAAAATGGTATTCCTTCTCTCTTGTCGCTATCCTAATTGAATCTGGGAATACTATGCCATTCGTTTTACCCAATTCAGTCACTTCTGACCATCGTAACACAAGTTTTGTGTCTATGCCAAATATAAGAGCGTGGAAACACAGGTAATTTACAGAGAGGTATAGCCATCCTTGCCGCGGCAGTTTTCCTTTCCAATAACTGAAAGAACAACAGCTTTTCAGTACAATGGTAACTTTTTTCTAACATAACAAAATAAGCATAACTATACTGTGCATGCCCCAACCGATTTTGAAACATGTCCTTTTTTAAATATCTTTTGAAAATATTAATAGGAAGTACTTGTTCACCGGGCATCCTTATTTTAGAACCCAATACGTAAATCACTTGGCTTGGTGCAATAAAATTGATTAAAACGGTTGAACAGGAGCACCCGTTTTCCACCGTGTAGTTTACCAGCTTTAATGACCACCTGATATTTATTGACAAATAATTGGGCGTTTCGTTACTAAGAAACTGTAGCTTCCAGATATATTTATTTCTTTTAGAAGTGAGAAATAGAAGATAAACCAAATGTTTTAATTTCTATCGCCGTCTTAGCTTAGCCCCTGATAAGGAAACCAGTTGCCGTATATAATTGAGACAGTTAAGAGAGTGTAGATAACAATAAATCAAACACTTAACAAAAACTGTTTAAATGTAAGTTTGTTTTTGAATATCGTCATTTATTGGAACGCAAACAAATACAAAATAAGTATAAAATAAAATAAACTAAAAAGAAAACACAGAAACACAGTTAAACCAAAAGGGCGAGGTTCAGAATAGTAGTGTATTCCTATACACTACCATCTGTTCTACCGTTTAACCCATTTTCTAAATACAAAACCTCATGTTGAATTTAGGAAAAGGAACTTTTTTATTTCTATAAAAAAAGTATTTTGTTAAGTAGGTATTGCGATAACCCAATGATCAATGACTTTTCTAATTTGATCCTGAGCACAAATTCTGCACATTTTCTAATTTAAATAACTGACTGTATAACTTCAATACTAAAACAATAGTGCCAGCTTTATTTAGAAAACATTGTAAAAAATACCCAAGCAGCAAGTGTTGTTAAAAAATACTTGAGTACTTCCGAAAAATTAAACAGCAGAAAAAATAATGCATACAATTACCTGCATGAATAATAATTAACCAATTTCTCCTCCTGAGGAATAATAAACAATCGATGAAATTTATCACAAGTGGCTTTAAAGGCCTTGGTATCCTCATCTGGAATAAAAATAACAATTACACACCCTGTGTCCCAGGTTGATAAGGAAACAGAATTAATGTATTTTTAGCGAAGGATCCAGGAGGCCTTTGATATGTATTTGCAGTTCGCGTTCAACGTACGTTATTGCGCTTACCTGATGCTAGAAAGAGATTGGAGTAGTAAATTGAACGCTAATTTCAAAGGCCTTGTGAATCCTTCGCAAAAAAAATACATGCCGTTTCACTATGGTGCGTTTTACCTAGGACACACTGTATTCAATATACATCAACAATAAAAACTAAACTCAAATTTGATCTGGGATTAAGTGGAAGAGATCTTTTATTTAAAATTTGTTTGCTCTTCATATTGTCACAATTTCTCTATCAATGTCACAGCCGACTAAGAAGTTTACAAAAAATAATGCAGACAAATTATTATTATCAAACATAAAAACAGATAATAATCTTGACCTTTCTCATTCAATTGCAATAAATAATAATAGTTTACTGAATAGGGTTATTTACTTAAAGCGATTTCCAGTCAATTAATTATTAATAAAAAAAGGGACTTTTTCAAATAGTTGCTGGTGACAATAATGGTCCTTGCAGATTTTCTGTTAATTGAGACTGATTTTAAGATTTTCTAAACAGTAAAGTACCTAGATTGTGGTTTCAAAACAACTTGTAACTGCGTTCATTAGCAAAATACACATGGCAGATTAGTTTAGGGTGCGTGATAACACAATCAGCAACTAGATAATCTTAAAATCCGAGGAAGATTTCAAACACTCTCACCATCAATATCTTGATCTTGTCGCACTGCTATTATCGATTCTATTTTGCAACTGACAAAATCAGTGATGTCGTCCTCATTATCGAATGTCCGTAATGTCTCGTATACATTGTTAAACAACCACTCCCAATCTTTCAATATTTCTTGCCTCGTCATTGAACAGGCAATTACTAAACAAGAAAGATAATAAAACATTTTATTAATCAAAAAGTTCATACACCAATAGACTTCGGAGGTCGGCGTTTGATGTAAGATTCGATAAGGTGGTGGTTTACTATCGAAAATACTATCCATTGTTCCTACCAGTAAAGAAGACAACCCCTTCGAGTTACCATGACCTTTGCGATGTTGTAAAATAAAGTATTTTGTAGTTTCCTCCGTTACCCTACGAATCGTTAATAAATTCGAAACATACAGTAAAAGAGCCTTACCATAGCGCCGTAGCTAAAAGTACTTCTTGCGGCTTAACCCACATTTTAAGACGTTTAGGTGCTTTGTTACTAGTAATAATCAATCATAATCCCAAGGATACCTCCACTAGGTCAGTAATAATTCAATGTTTACTTATGTAAGCAGTTTAGGCGATCACAACATGTGAAATTTCCGCTTCTCAACATATTGTTATTATACTACATCTTCAGAGTGAGCGAACCATACGTTCACAACAAAAACTAATGTTATACAAATGTTAACATAAATGATAAGAGCTATAAACCAAAACTGATAAATATTTAGCTCTCTTTACTCAACTGTCACTGTCAGTTCGCTGTCAAAAACATGCTGCAATATGATTTTTGACCTTTGTTTTGGTAATTTTTTTCGTAAATATCAGATATACAGGGGATCATTTCTCATACAAGGAAAATCCTAGTAGCTAGTAGATAAAGTTTATTGAACACTAAATTTTGACCTCGCGACTTCGTACGCGCATAAACTTTACTTAAATTAAAAGACGGTCCTGTAATGGAAATAATACAATCCAGTATTCTAAACATTAATAAATATGTCCCGTAATGTAACCAATGCGTCCCGAGACCGAGAGTCCCTCACTTCCTCTTATCGCTTTTGTAGCAGTGCAGTGCAGTGTTGCTCAAATCCACGCAATCAGTTTTCATAATATATTTTAATGTACCTAATTTTTTAATCTATTTTCATAATATATGGCAAATTGTCTCCTTTATTTTTTAACTAAGCTCCTTGGTATAATATGGCTACAGTAGCGCGTCGCTACTGATGGCGTCACCCATGCTGGCGCAGTATCCCTGCTGGAGGACCGACTAAAAAGGCAGCCCTTCACTTCATGTACGCGTACGCACTTCGCTTCGCATGACAGCAATGCTGGGCGCTGGCGAGCAGAATATACCTCGTTCGTTCCCTGATATAATATTTGTAACCACTGGAAATATGGCTTTTATTAGCTTAAAGAAATCAACTAGACAATTAAATTAACTTTGACAATAACGATAAATGACTATCAAATGATAACTAGATAAAATATCATATCATTCTTCCCCTGTAGAATTTTCTTCTTCTGCAGAATTTTCTGCCCCTGTAGAATTTTCAATTCCACTTTCTACAACAAAGTTTTGAAACCGCGAGGGTGGCCTTCTAATTCGAGTAGACCTTCTAACCTCTTGTTCCGTCGAAGATCCATCAGAAGTTTGTAATTCTTGTGAGGCCTCAGTCTCTGAAGTTTCAAGACTAACGTCATCTTCACCCTCGTCAACGTTGTTTGGGAAGGGCGCTAAATGACGATTTGTCACGGTTGACATTTCTCCATTAGCTCTTCTAATTAAAGAGTAGTAAGGATTACTCTCGATAAGTTCAGCTTCTTCTACTACGGGATCAGTCTTTGAGTGACGGACATTCTTTTTTACTAGAACAGGTCCAGGCGTTGAAAGCCATGATGGTAGCGAATCCCCGTTTGGTGATCTTCGAGGGTACGTGAATAGTTTTTCATGTGGCGTAGCATTAATCGATGTACAAAGAAGTGATCGGATACAATGAAGGGCATCTTTAAGGACTTCCTCCCAGTTTCCAATTGACAAACTCTTTGAACGTAGACTGAGCTGAATAGTACGCCAAAGTGTTCCGTTCAAACGTTCCACTTGACCATTACCCTGTGGATTGTATGGCGTCGTTCTTGAGGATGCAATGTTTGAGTTTTTTAGGAAATTTTTAAATTCTTCAGACATGAATGAGGTTATCTGTCGCTGTGTATGTAAAGAGGCTGGCCAAAAGTGAGAAACAGGTCTTTCAGGCATTTAATGACTGTGGATGAGGTCATATCTTTGCATGGGTAAGCGAAGGGAAATTTGCTATATTCATCGATAATCGTTAAAATATATTTGTTTGAAGAATTAGAAGGGAGAGGACCTTTAAAATCAATATTAAGGCGTTCGAATGGAGACGTAGCCTTAATTAGTTGACCTTTTGCTTTCAAAAATCTTGGCTTAATTTCAGCGCACGTTGGACACAATGCAATCATCTCTTTTACATCATTTGCTATATACGGTAGGTTTTTAGAGCGTATCCAATGGAACATTCTACTTACTCCAGGATGGCAAAGCGCATTATGAAGCTGTTTTAATTTGTCGGTGTTCATGTACGCACAAACTCGTGACAGAGCGTCTGCTGTTGTGTTTTCCGAACCTGGTCTATATATAATGTCATATTTGTAGCAGGATAGCTCTAGCCTCCAGCGCATTATCTTCTCATTTTTAATCTTGCTATTGTGATTTTGATTCAACATGTACGTTACTGATTTTTGATCCGTAATTAAAAGAAAGTGTTTTCCAATCAGAAAATGTCTCCATTTTTTAAGACTTTCAACAATTGCACAAGCTTCCTTCTCTATTGATGAATGTCGACATTCTGGATTAGAAAGCGTTCGAGAGAAGAAAGCGACTGGACGACCCTTTTGCGTAAGCGTACCGGCTATAGCAAAATCCGAGGCGTCAGTTTCAACAGTGAAAGTTTCATCATCATCTATTGCTATAAGAGCAGCTTTTTTTATGTCTGATTTAATCTCTTGGAAGCATTTTAGAGCATCAGGCGTTAAAGGAAAACTTGAAACACAAGTTAAAGGTTTTATCTTCTTTGAAAATCTTTCAACCCATTTCGCATAGTGGGCGAACATTCCCAAAGCACGTTTGAGTTCTGAGTTTTTAATGGGAGCGGGAAGTTCTAAAAGGGGTTTCAATCTCTCAGCGTCTGGTTTGATTGTGTTATTTTCGACAGTATAGCCAAGTAGATCGATTTTTGTTTTCTTAAAAACACATTTTCTTTCATTCAGTGTTAAGTTATATTTTCTCGCCGCATCCATAAACTTTTTTAGATTACGTTCATGTTCTAACTCATCTTTACCACATACTGTCACGTCATCTAAGTATACAAATGTACCTTCTAGTTTCTCTCTGGTTATGATGAAGTCTAGAGTCCTTTGAAACCCAGAGACATGGAGAGAGGAGATCGCTGATCGACGAGTGCGCATCCAAGAAAGGGTGCGACTAAAGTCACTAAATATAGAAAGTACCGCAATCATCCGCCATTTTTGGGCAAATTTGCTGCCAACTTAAAAAAATTGACAAATAAAATCTGAATAGCTGTCATTTTTATAACCTAACTTCATAGTACTGTCATGTTTTATAAAAATATATACAGATATCTCCAAACAGGTGGAACAATCCCTAACATTAAAGTTACTAGAATCTGGTAACTTTCGCCATTTTTGGGCAAAAATCATGCGTTCTCTCTCTAACACACGAGCCCAATGGATTGCGGTACTTTCTATATTTAGTGACTTTAGGTGCGACCTCATGGGCGCTGCCATTTTTACACCCGTTGTGTCATGTTGTGTTTATAGTGGTGTTATTTTAGCGTGTGTTCGTGTTTAGGAGAGCTTTTTTCGAGGTTTAAGTGTTTATTTTGTAACGTCAACGTCACTGGCATTTTCTTTTGTTTATTTGGATTGAGATATTAGTTTCTTCCTACGGAGCTGCTGCCGAATAGAGTGTAGTGTATGAAGATTGCGTTAGATGTCTCTGGGTTGCGTCAGTAAACCTTTATAGTCCTGTTCAAATTTCGCGCTTCAATGGGTGTCAAAATGGCAGCCCCCTTGTTTTGTCACTTCGCGCAGTTTCATGCGCTATCTCCTCTCTCCATGTCTCTGTTGAAACCATATATATACTTCTCTTATATATATGTTTGAAACGCTGCTACACCATTGGTAACACCGAATGGAATTCTTGTAAACTGGTAAAGTTGTCCGCAGGCTTCAAAAGCAGTGTAGACTTTCTCTTTATCTAAAATGGTCATTTGATGATATGCGCTTTTTAAGTCGATCTGACTGAAGATTTTGTATTTCGATACTTTTAAGACGACCGTTTCCATGTTTGGTAATGGGAATGCATCCAATTCTGTAAACTTGTTAATAGTCATAGAGTAGTCTATTACTAGACGTTTTCGATGAGCGCCACCTCCCGCTACTAGGACTTGTGCTCTCCAGGGAGAAATGCTTGGTTCTATTACACCGTCTTCCAGTAATTTTGATATTTCTTGCTTGATAAATTCTTCGTCTTCTATACTGTATCGACGACTCCTTACGGCGATAGGTCTGATGTTAGGTGACAAATTAGTAAAAATAGATGCTGGTGGCACTGAAGACTGCATTACGTTGCAGATGCGTAATGGTTCATGGGGACCTCCTAATTCAAATTCAATTTTACAATGTTCTTTTAGTAGGTCGTGTCCAACGATCACGTCCGCGCAGAGATTATCGACGATAAGAAGTGGTATCTGCCTGTAGTTGTGTTTATTCATGGTGATATTGGCGAAGCAAATACCTTCGACAACTGATACTTGATTCAGCGAAGCTAAGTTGACAGACTGTGTACATGGTTTTTGACGTAATTTCATTAGGCGCGCGATCTTGCTGTTTATAAAACTGACAGAACTGCCAGTGTCAACAAGAGCATCAGCTTTATAACCATTCACCGTGATTAGAATAGTTGCACCTTTCAAGCTTGACGGTGAAGCGGCAGATATTGTACTACAGTGAGATGAGCCGTCATCGATAAGACTGTTGACTGTGTTTTTGAACGAAGCCGAGTTGCTGGTAGCGTTTCTTGATTCACATACATTTGAAAAATGACCTTTTTTAGAACACAGGTTACATATAGCACGGAAAGCTGGGCACCTTTGATGTACGTTACCTGGTTACCACCACAAAAGAAACAACATCTTACTGCTCGTGAGGATGGTTCAAGTATTGTTTGTGATGGTCGGTGTTGTGTAGCCGCTGCTATGTTTGATGCTGTATCTTGTTTTTGTTCGTATATAGCATTAATTTGCGGTGAATTGTTACTTATTATTAGCGCGTCCTTTTCAGCTGTTTCAAGTGCAATAGCTTGGTCAAGTGCTTCGGCAAGAGTAAGTTTTTTATTTTCTAGCAGGCGTTCTTTGATTTTACGAGAAAGCAAACCGGAGATCAAGGCGCTACGGATTGCTTGTTCTTCATGTTCTTGAGCGGTAACGGTTTCGAAAGAGCAATCTTTTGCCGCTAAACGTAAAGCTCTTACGTAGTCAGAGATGTTTTCATCCGCACGTTGTTTCCGGTTAAAAAGAATATGCCTGGCTAGAATTATATTTTTAGGTTTAATATAAATACCTTCTAAAGCTGCAATTGAGGCTTCGTAAGTTTCGCAAGTTTTGATATGTTTGTAGATTGAAGCTGACAGGTGATTTACTAAGAGCTTGCGTCTTAATGCATCTGGTATTAATAACTTCTTCATTCAAAAAACTTTCGAACGTTGACCTCCAGTGCTGCCATTGTGCATCCGCTTCTGCAGCATCAGGTTCGACATCAAATTTGTCAGGACGTAAATACCTCGTGATAGGAAAACTAGTTGACGATGGGTTTTCGTTAATCATTATTTTAAGCTAATAAAATTGATATAATATTTGTAACCACTGGAAATATGGCTTTTATTAGCTTAAAGAAATCAACTAGACAATTAAATTAACTTTGACAATAACGATAAATGACTATCAAATGATAACTAGATAAAATATCATATCATTCCCTTCACGTTTGAACTTTGCATGAATTCGTGTTGGGCAATGTTTGTAGGGGCAAAGCTCAAACCGAACTGTGTACGTGAAGGCCTGCCTTAAGAAAGATACAACCCACCTACTGAATACAAGATTCCACACCATAGTCCCGTTCATACCTACCACGTTCAGATCGAAATGTCCTTCCCACCTTTCAAACTTCTTTCCAAGCTGAGCTGGCAGAAGTGAAAAAAATTACACTACTTTGATTATATATTAAGGGGCACAGTATACAAACTACCAGTGATTATTTATTTTATGTTACCTGAAGTTCAGTATGGTAAAGTTTACACTTGGACATCAACCTTATCTTGTCAAAGGTAAAATGGGCATGCGCAACACTATGTGTACCCTACCCAACTTGCATATAAGTATAATATTGTATCGTTAATAATAATATAACCCAGTAACCACTAATGTTTTTTTTAACACAAACACTTCAGTCAACTTTTAAGAACAATATAAAACCACAGGGTGTTTCCCTATAAGAGCAAGATTGACCCGAAAAACACCAGGGGCCTATAACAAACTATACAATTGTACCAAGCCTACAAATTACAAGTAATCTGAATGTAACTATAACTACAAGTCCTAACGAATTTGGTATATGTAAATGAGTAAGTGTAAAATATATTCTAACAATTGTAGGACTTGTACACATATCATTCCTCTAATATTGTCAAAAATATTACTCAATTTGAATGGAAATCATTTTTAAATATAATTGTTTTCCTTACCAAAAGTTATGATGGAATGCAAGTCTAAGTTAGGGGCAGGGGGCAGTAATTACTCGCATATTTGTTTGGTCCTTAATCTACAGATTAGTACAAAATCTAGTTAGCATACTCAAATTTATTAATAGGTATCAAATTTATGACACAAAAGCTTTCACTTTTTGAACAATTTCCGCAAACTTATTCCCCTGTATAAATAAAATTCGTCTGTAAGGTATCATTTCTCTGTCCTCTTCTTCCCATTGCCCCACTAAAGCAGTATCACACTGCGATGTGACGTTATATTCTATACTAACTTCAGCTTCTTTGTCAAAAATTTCTTCCTCGGCATTTGAAAACATAACATCGGCTAGAATTAAAAAAAAGTTGCAATAAGGCTATTGCAGGTTTCCTTACATACATTTCCCTCCTTTCGATTTGTACAGCTTACAAATAAGCACAAAATAATCAAATTTGTAAGAATCATCTCTTTTGGCCATACGCGACATTTCCGCCTGTAGGGATGTTAATAATGGATCTGCAATTTTTGGCGGTAAATTTATAAAACGTTCATTAATTAACAGTCCTAATTTCTGAGAACTTTCTAATATGTTATTGATTTTGTTTCGAACAGCTTCATCTGATGTTTCTGTCGTTAATCGCTGCACCAATTCGAACAGTTGTTGAACTACTGGCGATTCCTAAAAAAAATAGGTACACTTCAGATTTTAGAATATGGACATTCAAAAAACATACCAAATGAGAAGTTAAATTGAACACTGTAGTAACGCCAAACACATCCAGTGCTTCTGTTAATGTATCATCATCGTCATCGTCTTCATCCTCATTCCAACTTTGCTTCAAAACACTCCCAATTCCTTCTTGTGCAATTAGCATGTCGCTAAGTTGTGTAACGTCCACATGTTCTTTAAGAAACAGTTGTCTCAAGAGTTGACGGATACCATTAAAATCTTGCACTTCCAAGTTTCGACCTTCAAAATCGGCTTGAATTTCCTATAGAAACACCTGTAGATGTTTTCGGTTTGAATTTTTCCTACCTCGTCCATTTTAAAGTCTCCTTCATGGTCCGTTTGTTTGCTCACCGCACGTTTCTTAATAGAACTTGCCATTACTACCTATTAACTAAAAAGTCGTTGTATATGGAATCAGGTGTGTCAAATTGAGGTTATGTTGTGTTTGGTCGTGGCTATAGTACTGTATACGATAGATTTCGGCTTGGTACGCTTACATAGTTGCCAGGCCGTTAAATTTGTTATATTGGAAACATATATTTGTGACAAGATCGATTCTGATTATATTATATTATATTCTAATCATTGCATTGCAACTCGGTTGCACACAATAAAAATGTAACATGTAAATACTTTGTAGATATAGTATTTAGATACTTAAATAGTATCTGATAGGTACACTGTATAGAAATAATATTTTTATTACTAACAATATTACATAGATCAAGATACTTCTGAGGCACATTTTCTTTGTTCTTCAATACAAAAATGTATTGATTTGACTTCCTTTTTACCTTTAGTATACGTCATAGAGTCTTCAGCACTATCTGACAATTATTAGGTACCCTTACATATTTCAAATAACTGTCAAAGTCAACGAAAACTTAAACACCAATCAAATGGCCCTTTCGAGGCAACCTATTATCATGCACAATTTCTCTTAAAAATAAACGTGTAAACAAATATAGCAAACGAGCTCCTGGGTATAGCCACAGATTTGTATGTGTAGATCTGTGGTATAGCTATAGCATAGGCAAAACCAAATGTTTAATGTGGTGTCAAATTTTCATTTAAGTGCTTTCTCATAAATAAGAAAATTTGCAAACCAAATTTTGAAACTATGTATAAAATTTCATTTTAATAGGAACCTACTTTCTTACATAAAAAAGTTTACAATTCGGTTCATAAATAGTCGAGATGCGAAAAGGGCACCGTGAATTGAATCGATTGCACTCAACTTTTGGCATTGCGTATTATATGGCCCAAATTGAATTTAATGCAATTCGGTTCATAACTAACGGAGATCTCAAAAGTACCTTCCTTATTTTTGGGCCTACATTGCCAACGAACTTCAGTCTTAAAATTTGATAAAGAATCCACCTGCAAAGTTTCATCGTAATCGGGCCGTTTATTTTCGAGATTCGTGCTAACGGACGGACGGACAGACACAGTAAAATTATAAACTCACTAGGAGATCTTCCTTTTACAACCATGCAACTAATAGGTTCATAAATATTCAAACTACATGTGATACACAAGGCCTAAAATTGGCCCTTTAATTGCCCCTTTAGGTTAAATCATTAAATATTTATGCAATGGTTAAATTGAATTTTACGTTAAAAACTACAATCAATGATTAATTATGACAATGGTTCTTTTATAGATTCAACCCTTTAATTTGACATTAATAAATCAGAAGAAGCTTGAGCAGCCTCCTCACAATGAAAATATATTGGTATTTGGTAGGTAACGTAATCAGTAGAGCTGATGCGTAATGCGTATATTGGGAACTATCTGACGGCAACCGTCTGTGGTGACTTATTCAATGGAGATTTTTCTTTAGTTCGAAACAATCATTCCAGTGTTTGTAGGTCACCAGCCACCAGGGATTTGTATCGGGATTCACAGAAATGCGAAGCGCGGCCTGGTCATGTTTACCTGGTTTAGGGATAATATTATTATCTCCATGAATTGTTTTTGTAGGTATGTATTTAAAACGCGATACATTCCGTATACATTATTCTAACAAGGTGGACAGATTTTACGAACTAGGTTACTCTCGCCACGTTCACATTCTGACAGACAGTGTCCCATTCGTCTCCCGTTGAAGTGAAATAAGGAGAACTCTGCCGAGCTACAAAAGCTTTTCCACGCCTGACATCTACTAATTTCTTTATAGCGCATTTTTTAAGAATTAAAAAAATGTCGATTGTTTGTGTTTTGTCCGCCCGTCCGGCCGTTCGTATGGGGGGGGGGGGGTTTCTAATGAAAGGTCTCACCGAAATAAATACAAACTATAACTTTCCCGTGCGACTTTTTTTCGAAATCAGTGAGCGACGGGGCCAGGAGGGGGGGGGGGTTAAATATTAATTGTATCTGTCATTGTATTCTAATTAAAGGTCTCAACGAAAGGAACCGTTTTTTACTAATTACTGTCCTTCTTTCTTCCTCTTAGCCAAGTATGGAGCGGAAGGAGAGGGGAGAGTGGAACTATAGTTTTATCCTTCATGGTACTCTAATGAAAGGTCTCAACGAAAGGAATTAATTTCTACCAACCATAGTCCTCCCTCTCGACCTCTTATCGTGATCGGATATATTCCCTTATACCTCAAGAACGGATTGTCGGAAGAGGGTACTAACAAAGGGCGATTGAGACGTCTGCAAGAAATATATCCATTGGTGATGTACCAACCGTTTTTTACTAATTACTGTCCTTCTTTCTTCCTCTTAGCCAAGTATGAAGCGGAAGGAGAGGGGGGGGGGGAGTGGAACTATAGTTTTATCCTTCATGGTACTCTAATGAAAGGTCTCAACGAAAGGAATTAATTTATACCAACCATAGTCCTCCCTCTCGACCTCTTATCGTGATCGGATATATTATCCCTTATACCTCAAGAACGGATTGTCGGAAGAGGGTACTAACAAAGGGCGATTGAGACGTCTGCAAGAAATATATCCATTGGTGATGTCAAAACAAAAGCTATTTCGTTTTTAAAAAATGCACTTTATCTGCACAAGAGTTGTGTACAATTTATATTGTTTATATTACCTCAGAGTTACCTCTAGGGTTTCTGGGAATCACACCCTGTAATCAGCGATTTATGGTTTCTCGCACAGTGCTCTTACTAACTTATTACTGTGAGCGGTGGTATAACAGAATCCACAGGGAGATAAACGAAGTTTAATACCTGCGCTTAATTTACGTAGAGGTATTGGAAGATATCCTCAATTGCTGTAGAAGTGTAAACCAATACTTATAAATGAAAGAAAGGGAATTTCTAACCCTAGCCTTCCTTTCCATCCTCATCTCTCGGGGATTTTTGGTGTGGTTTACTGCAGCAATTTTAAAAATTACGTACCTACACGAATTATTTCGACTAAGTAATTTGATTTTCGTATAGGTTCATGATTCCATTTAAGTAGACACATCCTAGAAAGTATCTCTGGAATAAAGAAGTTAAGGGAAAGTATAAAGGAAAGTTAATTCTCATCCAAGTGTAGTATTGATGTTCATGTGACTCGTGAGATTTCCCTTTTTCTATGAAAATTCTCTGAGTAAAAAGAAATATGAGGGAAAACCACTGACCAATAGGGACGAAAAGGATTTGAATATAAAGCGCACGTGGCAACAATGCAAATGCATTCCAAAATAAAAAGATGTCGTCAATGAGGAGAAGTGGAAGCAAATAGTTTATGTTTACTTCTCTCTAATTATGTATTTTCGTACGTTAAAACTTTATACAAGTGGTAAACAGTGAGAAGTGCATAAGACAAAGCAGTTGGTTGTAATCGTCAACAATGGAGTTGGGTGATCGAGTATACGCTGCTGAAAGAATAATGAAAAAGAGAATTAGAAGAGTAAGTACTTGCATATGTAATTACTATACATGTTTATTTTAATTATACGATGTAGTTTTAGGCACCCTTAATTTTAATTTGTGTTTATTATGTTTGGGAAGCGTTAAATTGTCCATTGCTTTTATTTTGAAATTTGGTGTCCCAATCTTTTTTAAATTATAGGGTGGTGTAGAATATTTGGTTAAGTGGAAGGGCTGGAGTCAAAAGCATAACACTTGGGAGCCCGAAGAGAATATTCTGGACGGTCGTCTAATTGACTTATACGAACGTTCACAAAAATCTGACTCAACCCCACACAAACGTGGCCCAAAGAAGAAAGAGAAGCACCCCGAACAAACAGTTCAGGTTGAAACCGAAGACGAAGGTCATATTAGTGGTGAGGAAAGCCAAGACGAAGCTCCCTTAAAACCAAGCAAGGCGGCCGCGCCGAAACCCGATACGCCGCCTGTACCAGAGGACGAGAATGCCAGAGCAAGTGCCTCAGTTACTGAGGAGGTGAAGGTCGAAATTGCGCCTCTTCAAACTGAAATCGACCCTGAGAATTCGAGCAGTTCGAGTAGTGAGGATAGGCCTATTTTGAGCAGGCGGGATGCCGCCGGTACCAAACGGAAAGCGGAGGTACTGTCGAAGGAATCCGGCAAAATCGGTGTGACGATTACCACGAGTAGTCCAGTGAGCAGTAGTCCCCCACCACCCAAAACACCAAAATTGGCATCGCCGAAATCGCCTGTTATACCTTCACCACCGCCACAGACCAGGGTGAACGGTCGCAGAAACTCAACTGTAAAGGTTGACGAGGAGCCAGTGGTCGAGACGACTGTCAGTGTGCCGCCCGTAAGCGAACCAGTAAAGGAGGAAGTGAAGGAAGTACCTGTTGAGACGGTTGCAACAAAAGCAAAACACAGTGTGGACGAAGTGACCGTTTCGAAAGCTGAAGTGAAAGAAACCAGCGAAAAACGGACAGATCAAAGTAGTACCTCGGACCCTGTGGAGTGTCCCCAAAAAAGACGTGTCAGTTCAGACACTAATAAAATAAGTAATAATGTAAATAGCGGTAAACAATGTTTAGTGAATGGACATAATAATAATAATAATAATAGTAGTGCCATTAGTGATACGACTCCTGTTTTAACAAGTCCAGGTTCTGATTATTGGCTGGCCAGGAATCCGGTTGTTGATCAGGTATTTATTACGGACGTTACTGTAAACTTAAAAACTGTCACAATTAGAGAGTGCAAAACTGAAAAAGGGTTTTTTAAGGAACGAAGCGCCTCTGACGAACAATCAAAATCCGGTGATATTGTATGACATTTATGATATTGATCGTTAGTAACAGAAAAAACCAGTATTTTATATACCCATATAAATATAATATTTAAAAACAAAAATGTTAAGAGGGACAATTACGGTAAATCGCGGACACACATTCTGCAAGATCTGAGTAATGTATTTATTTTAATATTTTTCTTCTGCTTGCTGTATCTAGTCATTTATTTTATTATTTTACAAAACTCTAGCAATTACTAATTTGTTCTATTTTTTATGCTTGAACAAATAGGAATAATGGTTGGAAAACCATATAGACAATTTTTAGCTCAAATACAAACTGATTAATTCTTAACTCAAACCATGGCTGCTAGGGGGCAACACACATCACAAAAAAGTCTTTAAAATGTAGCATAATTTAAAAATATTTTTATTTTAGATGCCTAAAATGTCTATATGGGTTTCTGATTATATTCTGACAACACTTTTTACTCAAAGTATGTTTACCTTTTGATAACCATCAGATTGAATTGAACAAGAAAAAACAGGGAATGAAATACCCGAGGGAAATACCATATTGAGATGGTTGCTAATGTTCCCTTGCACTTGATTATTTAAAGCCAGATGAACAATGCAAAACAGGGCTTATAGAATTATAGCTCGAATACATTTTAAAATTTTTAATTTAACGTGAACTACAAATTTTTTCTTTTCTAAAGAAGCACACATTTTAAAATATTTTTATTTAGTGGTATGGATCAAATTGGCCTATTCTAAGGCTTATTCACAAACAATGATTGAGAATAATGCAGGTACCAATTTGATGATCTTATTTTTTTTAGAAGAAAGCTTTTTCAAAAAATGTTTTTTTTCTTTAAACTCGTTTTTAAATTTATTTATATATTGCATAGGTATTAACAATTTGCGACGAAATGCGCACAAAAAAATATTTCACTTTTTTTTGTTAATCTACCATCCATTTGTATTTAATTATTAATACGTTTAGCACTTTTGTATACATATTGCAACAAATATTCTATAGGACTGTTAGAATTAATTTGTCTGTTTACAGATAGGCAGCTTCAAAAGTCCAAATTGCAATGATACAATGACCCATAGAGTTGAAATGTCTTTCAATATTTTTTAAATATCATGGCACCAAATGATAAATTTTTTAAACTTGGCTCACATTCACTTATAAAGTTAATTAGTATAATTTTTTATTTAGTTTCATTTAATACAGTTTATTTTTAACAATGGATGCTTAGTGGAAATTGAAATTTTAGGTAGGTATTTGAAAAGGTACCTACTTGAGATGAGTATTTTTAAATTTAATTTTTAAATTAATAATTAAAGTATTGTATCATTTTATACACTTCTATATTTTTTTTGGATCAAAGTCGCTTATAGCCAAATATTTTTAATGGACAACGGAAGGTTTCAATTTCTTTTTGTAAAATTTTGAAAAGAAAAGTCTATTTTTAAAAACCATTTCTCCTCTACATTTACTTATTCAGGGTGTAACGATACAGTTTTGTGGTAAAAGGGGCCAAAAATAAACTGAAGAATTTTGTTTATGAGCGTCTTTCTAACAAGTCCCAAAAAAGTGCAAGAAGAGTGTCCCAACGAGCCAAAAAATCTTATGACAATACCTTGGACACCAACTTTTAACATTTTTTGTACATCCCCGTTGAGAGGACCACTTTTATGGTCGGGAATTTTTTGAAAAATTTTCACAAAATATAAACGAGCATACCCAAAAACCTAGTCAATTCCATCCTTCTGCGTGTTATGGTTGCTGAGAAAAACAAACCAAAGGGTGCAAATTTTGAGACGTAGCTGCCAAATGAAAGATTTTAAACCCTTGAACTATTTTAGTTCCATGTACCACCCAATTTTTTACATACTTAATTGCATTAAGAATTAAATAATTTGCAAATTTGATTCTATAAAAAATGTAAAAACCTTCCATCTTTTTAATAAAAATTATAATTATCTCGGTAATTACTGCGAATCGTTTTATGTGTTGCAAGGAATCTCCTGTAGAAAAGTTGCAATCAATGTACTTGGTACAGTACTTAACTTAAAAATGCAATTTCGTATGAGTTAATGCGGACGAGTTATGTAGTAGTATCAAATTAAAATATATCTTTTTCATAGGTGAAAATATTCAAAAATATAAAAGGTTTTCGAATAAGCATTATTAATGCACTAGTCAATTTTTCATTAATAATGGGGATTCATTTTATAATGTTAAGTGCTAAGGGAGGTTAAACATTTTTTGAAATTAATTTTCTAAAGCTAATGGGCTCGCAAGTAAATTTTCTGAAAAATCAAAAGAATACCTAATGATCTTAAAAAGTTGGTAGCTTGAAATAAACAAATTGAAAAATTTTGTAGGTTTTTCGCAATTGTTATTGCAAATATCCGCCGCATTTAATAATAATAATAATATTTAATTTGGCAACATCGTATGTATAGCAATTATTAAATTATTATTGTGCAATTGAATTTCTATGCAACCATCTCAAGATTTACATTTGAATTTTCATTAAAAATTTATTATGTATGTACGGTGCGGTATGTATGGTACAAGTTATTGTGTGGCACAAGTCATGCGAGAGAGCGGATTTGGTATCATTGTTCTCAAGTGACTAATTTGTGAGGAACACACAAATACAGCAGACTTTCGAAACATTTTGAAAAATGGCCAGTGACTGTACACAGTAGTTTAATTCCTATTGTTTAAAATAATTATGAACGCTCAATTGTGTTGGATAAACGATTTTATCTTGATTTTAGCCTCGCTTGTGATTAAATGTTACCTATTCTGTTTCGATTCATCGACATGTCTGTGTACTACGATATAATTCAAGTTTGGTGAACATGTGATCAAGTTGATATTTTTGATAAATACAACATACAAAAAAACAAAAAAAATTACACGATCGCTGTAATTGTCTCCCAATAAAATCAAATTGTTAAAAATATAATTAATTTATTTTTACCTAGGCATTAGAGGTGAAGTGAAGTTTATTTTCATTTTTCCTCAAATATGTAAGTTCTTTGAGATTATTCGGTGGTATAAAACTTGATCTAGCATCCAAGAAACCTCATACCTTATGTATATAGGAAACAAATTGTACATATATCGTCATAAATTATATTAATTTGTTAAGTGAAATGGTTGTACTGTGATAAGCCATGCTTAGTTGTAAAAATAATTGATCTGCTAGGTATTAGATTAGCCGATATATTTTGTCTGAATGGCATCAAGGGTAAGTAATTTTTATTTTCGTAATTTTATTCAGCTGTAATAATTGTACCGTCAGTTAATTCTTTTGACAACGCTTACTGAAAGATATAGAAGATATAGGTGGGCAAGAAGGAACTAAATAATACATACATCTGCAACTAAGTTGATATGGCACAAGCCTTTTGTTAATAATTCAGGTATTTCGACTAATTTTTACAATCCTCTTTCTCATCAATAATCTGTTACATCAGTCACCAAATAGTGCACAAATTGATAAATGATACCAGTTTTTTTTTTATTAAAAAAGAATGTGTAGATGGAACTATTTTGACTAAGTGCATTTTGCGTAAGTAATTAATCATTTGAGTGCAGCTGTACATAGACAAAGTGGAAAATTATTGCTTAAGGTCACCATAACTTCTTTGAGAAGAAGGCTTCCATCACTTAGTAGATACAATACAGGCATTGCTTTACCTTTCCTTCTTGCTTATAAAATGGTTTTGTTTAAATCTCAGATCTAGAATAATATATTAACAACTTCATTCCTTAATCATGTGTGTCTTGTAAATAGTTTTAACAAATTAATATTTTTAGTTTTTATTTTCATTGTTAAGTGCCTGCTTATGTGGTTACTTGTATTTATTATTTTGTACTTCACAAATTTTAAAATATTCTGGTGAGCTTAATTATAATAATGTCCAGTGTTAAACTAAGTCAGGAATTCTATTTTATTATTTAAAAACATATTTATTCGGTTTTTTACAATACATTTTGTTTGTATATAGAAACCTAAAAATGGGTACAATATTTGTTAACTTTTAAGTGTCTCGCGTGGTAGATACTTATATTTTACTGAATTTTGTAAGTTTTAAATTGTACATATATAAAATTTAATTTAATATTAATATGTGACTTTTCTTAAAAGTATAATGGAGAATTTGAATAACCGGTCAATTTCAGTTGACAATGGTAAAATTTGTTCTTTTGTATAGGTATATGCTTTGCTTGTAGCTTTTTTCCCTAGTGTTGCCAACTATAGCGGTAAGTATAGGGTAAGTCACAGTGCCCGCTTGGGGATCCCCTAAAATCATTAAAGCACCAAATGAAATGAAATACAAGATGGCAAATAATTTGCAATTGTATCCATTTTGTAGTTGCACTCTTGATAAAATAACTAACAACGCTGCACCCGCATTCCTCTATATTGATATTTAAAAAAAATTGTCAGATATAATCTCGTAATCGTTTAATTAATGTGGATCAAAACCACCTGTTTTGTCGTTTTCTCGACGAAAATAGTACGTAATTTTGCTCAAATTTGGACATCTGGAAATAGTTCGAAAAAACTAAATCGTGTTTGCTTGTTATACTGTGCAGGTGGTTATGCCTTTACATTGTTTCATTATAGTTATTATACAACTATAAGGGAGATATGAATATTTCACTGGTTTGATTGTCGCCTCCTGTCAAATAAAATTGGCGTAATGTCGAACTACGTGCTATCAGAAGCGCCGAAAGCCCGTGAATGTTGGTTCCGGTAAAATCTGAAGCTGCTTACAGTAAACTGTATCATGATTATCCAGAGTGGAGAAGAAAAAATTATCAAAGTCCTCGTTTGAGATCGAAGGGACTTCAGCGCATTTTTGTGTGGCAGATCAGTATTCTCTATTAGCCACTTTCGACTCAACCATCAATAACAGATCTTGTCGAAGGCTACTACATTCACTAACCGCTTCCCACTTTCCGCGTGCACCCGCAATTCGCTTTTAAAGTTTTGACTCCTCCATCAGTAAGATCATGTCGAGGGCTACCACATTCCCTTTGACGGTACCCACTTCCGACGTCCCGTTCAGCCGCAATTCGCGATTGAAGATTTGACTCCACTATCAGGAAGATCGTCTCGGGGGCTACCACATTTCCTTTGGCGGCACCCACTTCCGACGTCCCGTTCACCCGCCATTCGCGGTTGAAGATTTGACTACACCATCAGTAAGATCGTGTCGCGGGCTACCACATTCCCTTTGACGGTACCCACTTCCGACGTCCCGTTCACTCGCAATTCACTTCTATTGGCGACACGAGAAAGAGAGACAGCGATTCGAGATTTACGAAACGTTAAACCGCGTGAGTTCGCAACGGAAGGTAAAAGGCGCCCGAAGTAGACTACCTCTCGAAGACGCGCGCGCGCGCCTCGCAAAAGATCGTTAATTTCGCCCCTATGACAAAAAACAAAATTCCGCCACGCAGGAGTTGTGCGCGTTTAGAACATCTTTCCGACGACACCAATTTGAAAAGAATCGAACCAAAACTGTAGTAGAAGATAGGAAAAAACTGAAAAACCTTCACGTTAGTATACTACGCTCGAGGATGACGCCCAGATGTCGCGAACCCCACATCATGTAGCCATGTCCCTAAGGTTGACAAATTTCACGGCCCTGTAGATAAACGTACACCCGTTGCCTTTCTACAAGAGTTCTTCTACGCGCCCACATTTGCTGCCAGCCAGCCAGCCAGCCGGCCAGCCAAAGTGAGATTAAAAGCTACTTTTTACAAATAAATTTGCAAAAATGCGCTAAAAATTATCAAAGTCCTCGTGTGAGATCGAAGGGACTTCAGCGCATTTTTGTGTGGCAGATCAGTATTCTATTAGCCACTGTTTACTCAACCATGAATAAAAGATCTTGTCGAAGGATACCACATTCCCTTTGACGGTACTCACTTCCGATGTCCCGTTCACCCGCAATTCGACGCGTTTGAAGATATAACTCCATCAGTAAAATCCTGTTGGGGGGGATACCACATTCCCTTTAACGGTACCCACTTCCGACGTCCCGTTCACCCGCAATTCGCGTTCAGTTTTAAAATGCAATAATTTCGAAGTTTGTAGGGAGCACTTACGTGTCAGATATAGAATTTAAGAAGATTTTTAACAGAAACAACCCCTATTTTTGACTGCGAGCAGAGAACAGTGTATTCCGTTTAAAACCAACTCTAATTTGCTTGAATTATTCCGAAATTGCCATCAAAAGGTCTCTAGAGTTAGTTTTCAGTTTTAAAATGTAATAATTTCGAATTTCGTAGGGATCACATGGCAGGTATAGAATTTAAGAAGATTTTGAACAGAAAACCACCCCTATTGCTGACTGCGAGCAGAGAAAAGTGCATTCCGTTTAAAATCGGACTTTAATTTTCTCGAATTTTTGTCAAAATTGCCCTCGAAAGGCCCTACCTTTACCTTTAGAGTTAGTTTTCAGTTTTAAAATGCAATAATTTGGAATTTCGTAGGGATCACGTGCTAGAGATCGAATTTAATAACATTTTGAACAGAAAGCAACCCCTATTTGTCATTGCCAGTATAGAGAAAAGTGTATTCCGTTGAAAATCGACTTTTAATTTGCTCGAATTTTTGTCAAAATTGTCTTTGAAAGGCTCTACCTTTTCCTTTAGTAATAGTAGTAGGTAATATATTTCGTTGACCCATTCAAAAATTATAATTGTTTAGTCGCGTCAGATAAATCTCAAATAATTTTAAAAATATTTAGAGGTAGTTTTCAGTTTTAAAAAGCAATAATTTGGAATTTCGTAGGGATCACATGCGCTAGAGAACGAATTTAATAAGATTATGAACAGAAAACAGCCCCTATTTTTGACTGCGACCAGAGAAAAGTGTGTTCCGTTTAAAATCAACTCGAATTTGCTCGAATTTTTGTCAAAGTTGTCCTCGAACAACCCTAAGATCGTGTTGGGGGCTACCACATTCCCTTTGACGGTACCCACTTCCGACGTCCCGTTCACCCGCAATTCGCGTTTGAAGATTTTTCTCCACCATCAGTTAGATCTTGTCGGAGGTTACCACATTTCCTTTTTCGGTGCATACTTATATTACACCCACATTTTGGTGGATCTCGCTAAAAACCTTCCACAAGATAGTACTTAATTTTTGAGGGGCACTTCTCATTGCTCGAGCTTCTATTGGCGACACGAGAACGAGAGACAGCCATTCGAGATTTACGAAACGTTAAAACGCGTGACAGAAGAATTCGCAACGGAAAGTAAAAGGTGCCCGAAGTTGACTACCTCTCGAAGACGCGCGCGCGCCTTGCAAAAGGTCGTTAATTTCGCCCCTAGGGCAAAAAACAAAATTCCGCCACGCAAAATTCCGCCACGCAGGAGTTGTGCGCGTTTACTACATCTTTCCGACGACACCAATTTGAAAAGAATCGGACCAAAACTGTAGTAGAAGATAGGAAAAAACTGAAAAACCTTCACGTTAGTATACTACGCTCGAGGACGACGCCCAGATGTCGCCAACCCCACATCATGTAGCCCTGTCCCCAAGGTTTACAAATTACAAGGTCTTGTAGATACACGTACACCCGTTGCCTTTCTACAAGAGTTCTTCTACGCGCCCACATTTGCTGCCAGCCAGCCGACCAGCCAGCCAGCCAGCCAGCCAAAGTAAGAT